AATTATGATAAATTTTTCTATCGATTACTTACAGCCACTGAATTTATCCTCACATCAAGAACTTTTGGATTGGTGTTAGGTGCGCCGTCAATCTGATAATTAATAAATTTATCCTAAAATATTTATAATTGTTAATAATTTTTTAAATGTTATCTTTTTTTAATATAGTTAATTTTGTAATATTTTTATCTCCTTATTACCTGTCCGATATATACAGAGCTATGTTGATCAGAAGTCACTCTTGTTTGGGATGCTTCGTTCCTCTCGCGGTCTCGAGTGATAGGTGGCCCGATAGGGCCTTGTGCTTGAACGTTATTTGCACTTGGTGTTGGTGAATTACCGATTGCTGCATTTGGCAATAGACCCATTCGGATTTTTAATAAAATATCGCTCTGAAATATTTATTGCACATTTAATAACTTCGCCAAACAAGTAGTCACGATATGATGCACAATTATATAGAAATAAAATTTATAAACTCGCTATTCTGTAAGAAATAGTGCGAAAAAGCCGAAGTTAGTACAACTAACTATGAAATTAATGCAATTAACTTGAAACTCCCGTTGTCAAATAAAAATATTCGATTTGTAAGTCTTTTAATATTGAGTTATAGATTTGTTCTATCGTAGAGTTCTTTATTTTTCAGAATTATGAAATTCTATCTCTTCTTATCAAGATCTTAAATAATTTAAGAGCTTCGAAAATTGAAATATTTAACAAATTTATTTGGAAATATTGAGTTTTTTTTAATTTTGGATTTGAAGAGAATAATAAAAATAGACTCTTTTAGCGCGTTCTCTAAAATTTGTCGCAGTCAATTTTGATAAAATATTTTTAATCACGAAATATTTCATATAAATAAATACACATGATTGAAAAGATAAATTGTGTACGTTATACTTAATGAAAGATACTGTGCGTAAAAACAAAAGTCCAAAAGTGCAAGTGAGTGAACAAAAGTGCTATAAATATGCTACAATTATTTACAAATTTACAATACTTTACAGTTGTTGTAGCATTTCGATATTTTTTACCTGGAAGAAAAGTATTAAATTGCATTTTATTAAAATTACATAAAAAATATAAAGCATATTTATTATAAGAAAGTCTGCTAGAAAGAAAGTTATAAAGACAAGTCACAAAGTTCCAAAAAACCAACGTTAATGTTAATAAAATTACATAACAATTATTCAAAGAAAATGTTATAAAACTTTATTATGATTTATATTGAATAGGAACTTTTAAATTCAATAGGTAAAATTAAATGCTGCCCAATAAATGTTACTGAAGTACAAATGTAAACAGATTTCTGTATGATTTCCGTTAACAATTAATATCGAATGATTCCAATTTACTCGCGCATTGCGATGATTTTTGAAAATTTAAAGAGCAAGAGACCTCGATTTATTTCTTTAATCGAGCGATTCTTCGGCCAAACTTATCGATAAAATATGACTTTAATGAAGAAGTTAGATAGAGATACCATTTTATTTGTGCTCGGGACGCTAGCAGAAGGACCAAGTGGTCCCGCGAAATTGGGGCCACCTCCAGGGGGTACGCCGATTGCATTACCAATAAGTCCAAAATCAACGGGGCTCGGGCTCAGGACGCCTCCCGTCAGCTCGTCCACGGGTCTATTATTATAATACACCGGGGCTTGGTACTGGTTATAAAATCCCACTTGGTTAGCCTGGTTATAATACGGCCTGGGGACTGGTCGGTTAGTAGTAGTGGTAGTGCTAAGTGTGAACACAACCTCGACCGGGTTCCTGGATGACTCCGGTATTATCGTCCCGTTCGGAAACTTCCGGACTAATCTGCCGTCCGGAAATATGCCGAATATCACATACGGGCTGTTCACGTTCCTGGCGTCGATCAGATTGTCTTCGGGCCGCTTCCGCACGATGGTCTTGTTCGGATAAACACCGTAAACCAAGTAGTCGCGGACGGGCGCTTTGCTGGAGGAATCGAATTTCGGTGTCGTCTGGCCGAAACGTCCCGCGACGGAGCCCGTATTTAATGCGCTACCGGATGTGGTCATTCGATTCGTATTAGTCTGTGTGGTTGCTACAGTCGTTGCAGTCGGCGTGCTCGTGGAAGATGCGGCGCTCGTCGTCGTTTCCTCCCCGGCGTCCATTCTTGATATCACGTTCAAGTCCACAGATTCGTTCGGAGCAACCGTCGTGTCTCGCATAGTCGAGGTGTCAGTCGACGTCTCGGTGGAGACGAGGTTTTCGTTTATGTCGACAGTCGAAGTGGTCGTCGGCGCGGAAGTTGTAGTCGTCTGGACAGTCGTCGTCGTCGTCGCGGTCTCCGTCGTCGTCGCGGTTGCTACCGTCGACTCGACCGATGGGGATGAGGTGGTTGTCGTGGCGGAGGATTCGGAGGATGCAGGAGAATCGGTTGAAGACGCTGTGACGGTAGGAATGGTGGTAATGATTTCGGTCGTTTGCTGGGGTTGAGTGATTCCCGAACCAGCCGTCCTTTGGGCGGTTGTTGTTGCCGTTGTATCCTGGAAACGGGCAATAAGATTTGGCATATTGCTTACGAGGTCGCTCATCGTTCGAGGAGCGTTTGTTGTTAGGTCGTTGAATTGATTAGTGATGGCGGTGTCGGTGGAACTTAATAGATTACGAACCGATTCCGTGGTGAAAGGCTCTTTATTAAGCGGCTGAGTGCCGCTCGTATCGGTTACGTTATCATCGAATACCGTTGGAAGCATCGTGGCGGTACTCGATGAATTAATTAGGTCAGGCTCTATCGTACTGGATTCGAGTGTCCGATTAGTAATAATACCTACGGCGTTCGTTTGTACAACGTTTATTTCCGTAATGATTACGCTAGTGGTTAATTCCATTATCGTTTCCACGGACGGTGTCGTGGACAATTCGTTTACGTCGGATAATATCCCTTCCATATTCGCAATAATAGAATTCGTCACGAAGGGATTATTAGTGGCCAAGTTCGTTGCAAATTCCAATAGCCGATCCGATAATTCGACGTCGTTATTCGGAACAGTCGTGAATTGTTGCGCGGAATCGACGATCGAAATCTGCTGTTCGATATTATTTTTGGTAGTATTATTATTAGATGATTGGATTGTATTAGATAATCGTAAGTCGGGCGTATTAGTGGTTAGTTCTGAAGTCATGCTGGCTGTAACGGGTACTACCGCTTTGGGTGTTTCAATTTTTATTTGAGAAAATATTTCAGGCATTGTAGTAATATCACCTACGTCGACTGGACTCTGGACATCGGTGGGTCGCGTGTTAAATTCCGTTAACGAAATTTCCGACTTTACGACGGGGCCACGATTTTCTCCTGCGCTTTCGGGTAAATCAACGGGTGTTGTGGCGTCTATACTTTCGGAAGTGCTTTCTAAAAGAGTCGAAAGTTCGGGAGATGCAGTGGTCGCTTCCGGCGTGTCGTTCAGGGACAATCGGTTTTCTACATTGCCGTCGGCTTGAATCGAATTATTTGCACCTGGAATGGTGGTCGTTTCGATATCGGATATCTGATTTGGCGATTGCTCATCGCGCGTTTCGTTCATCACTTCCGAGAAGAGTGTCTTCGCGATAGTCATTAGTTCAGCGAGTAACGTATCGTTAGACGACCTGGGCGTGTCTTCCGTAACGAAATCGGTGGGAAGTTGTGGCGCTGACGTGGTAGTCGCAGCTTCTGTGCTTGAATCTCCCGGACTACGCGCGTCCTGAGTTGTCGTTGCCAATTCAGGATCTAATGTCGCATTACGCTCGTCTACGATACTCGATAATTTCTGCCCCGCCGTTGTACTCGAATTTGATGAATCGCGGTTGTCCGATCCGATTGTCGTATCGATGTTTGTATCGACATTTCGGTCAGTCGTTGTTTCTTGCATTGACGTCGTCGTCTCGACGTTTCCCGGCGTTGAACTCTCCGCACTTGTCGATGACGAATCTGGTATTGTATTCGACAGTACGGATGAGATAGTTGTAGTGGGTTCTTCGACAAATGTTCCGACTGTAGAGAGATTTTCTTGTAAGCGCGATAAAATATCTTGCGCGACATCGAATTGCGTTTTGAAAGTAGTTGTAACGACAGGTGATTGTGTTGCGCGAAAGTCGAAGATGTCGTTCGAAATTTCTTCCGTCGTCGTTGCATCGGTGGTGCTCGTGATTTCCGTCGTTTGAGGCACAGCCGTTCCATCGGACTGTTGTATGGTATTCGTTTCTATATTTTCATCTACATTGTTCATATTTACGACTTGAGACAGCGTTGTGCTCGGCTGTTGCGTTGTACTCCCTTCGGGTATCGTATTCGTCTCAATATTCTCCGATGTATTATTTATCGCGGACACAGTCGTCATTTCCGGTGCTTGCGTCATCACGGTGACGCTTTCGGTGGTCGGGGAAAATACCGTTGTACCTGCATCAACGGTGGTTGATGCCTCGGTTGTGGTAAGTTCCGAAGGAAAGCTCGGGACATTGGCTGGTGTGTTCGTTATCGTGTTATCGGAAGTGGTAATTCCGGGCGATTCCGAGGTGGAGATTGGAGTGGTTTCGCCGGCGTTAGTGCTCGGCAGGGTCGTTTCCCCGCTCGGATTCCCGAGGGTTTGGACCGTCGTCGAGGCTGAGGGATCGCCGATATTCTCCGTACCTAATCTCGAAGCAAGTGAAATATTTGCCGACTGACCGGCGGTGGTAGTGTTTACGATAGTATCTGGGGATGATGTGGTCGCGATTGTTGCGGTGGGGCTTGCGGTGTCATTGTTGTTAGCAGTGTCGTTATTGACGCCGTTAGATACAGTAGCGTTAGAGTCTATTTTCGTTACCCCGCCAGTTAGTTTTTGCCGCTGGGAAACATCGTCCGTGCCCAAATTCTCGTTTCTTATACTAGCTGACTCTAATGCTTGATAAAAAGTGACGAATCTGGGCTCGCCGGGGCTGTTGATGTCAACGGGTGGTGCTGAACCGGAATTCTGCAATCAGAAATTCGGTGCGTGCGAGTGCTGTACACTTTCCAGTGCAATTACGGTGGCAAGTCGATTTTGAACAATTCTGAATTACGAGAATTTTCAAACATGTACAATCTACACGTCGGGACAGCGTTTTCAACCCTTAAACGCATCGCTTGCACTCTTTTTTTTGCAATATAAAAGTATTCAGCTCAAAGATTTTAAATCGCAGTACAAATAATGACAACAGCTTGCGCGTTTAAGAGTTAAAATTATCGTTTTATCTGTTGTATTTACAAATGTACAATTTCATACCCAAGTTGACACAATGAGAATAGCTAAAAGTGTAATATACAACGTTGCTTACGATTAGCATATTATTTGATTAAAAAATTTTGATAATTCAAGACAAATGTATGTATAATTATAAGCAGATATTATGAATATATGAGCATACACCATCTCTTGGGAACGATACGAACTGCAAGAGGAAAGAAAATTGTTTCGACATCTAACAGTTTCAGAAACTTGTTCCTAAGATTAAAGATACTTGGCAAAGAGACTAGTTTCCCTCTCGCCTCCGATACTTTTTCCTCTTTTCTTCGAGGTGTTGCCGGCTCCTATCTTGTATCTACAGAGGCCTCCACTGTACTTTCGCTATTACATTATTACGGAAGTATTGCATTATCATTTTTCGCATGATTACCCAATAAAAGCCTCGAAAGCGATAAATTTTTGCACGCGTAAAGTACGAAATTTACTCGCGCCATCTCAATTTGCGTGATAAAAAATTATCGTACAACTCAATTTGACTTTCAAAGTGAATTTTGATAAAAGAGATATTAGAATATAAAATTATCATTAAAAATGATAGAAATAAAAAATTATTAATGGAATGCATGATGATGACGTGCTACATTCTTGCTTCTTTGTCAATATTTAGAATCATCTTTATTTTATCACGTTTTATGTGCAGCAGATATCGAGTTCTTATTATACGTATTTATTATACACGAATGTATACTTTCACTTCTCGTTCAAGAGCAATATTCTTAATGAAATGGAACACGCACAATAGAGCATAGAATCGAGATAGGAATCGAGATAGGTATTATTTTTAAGGATACAATGTTACATAGTTATTTGCAAAATATTTAAGGATAATATTTAGGAACAAAGATATGATATATATAATAAATATATGATAGATGTCGATATATATATAAATAAAAAAATAAATATCTATCACAGAAATTTATTTTTTCTTATAGAAAAATTAAAATATTGTAAAATATTTTTTAGAGGGTTTTTCCAAAATGTTGGCTGGTTCTTGCACTAATTAATATATACTTGCAATTAATAAATCTGCACTTGTTCGAAACATCTCGATATCTCCTCTTAGATTGACTCGTTATATTCATAAAAATACATATCAAAAACAAAGCAAGAATTGAATTAAAATTTTATATTTACTGCTTCATTTATTCTTCTTTTATAGAAGATTCATATATTTTCAGTAAAAAAATATATATTCGCAGAACTGTATATTTTTTTATCTCTAAAATCCATATCAGACTATGCATTGGAGATTGAGATTGCGAATTGGAGATTAGAATGCGATCGATCAATCAATCTTAGCCCACTTTATCTTGATAGGTCGAATTTTAATCTCCAATTTGCAATCTTCAATCTCCAATGCATAGTTTGATATCGGTCTGGCGTGTCTAAATGAGGGCAAACAATTGCTAATCGCGTGCGATGCTAAAATCGATACATTTATTACAAAAGATATAAAGTTATATAGTACAATATTTGCACATATAAGTGTGTATGCGATAATGCTTGAGTGCCATGAGATGACATGATCGTGATCGATGACCGTGCGTTAATCTTTCTCGACGAAAATTAATAAATCATACTTTTTTTTCGGGGTGAACCTTTCTCTTAAATGTTAGCTGACTTAATAAGATGACCCTAATCCCAATAGATTGTTTTAATTCGTGTTGCAATGTTGATGCTTGTGCAAGAGTGCTCCTTCAAAGCGTTGATATTGACTGATTGATCGCACAGATTGAAGCTGTTGTTAATGTAATTTAGAAAAAGCATCTTGTAACTTGTACAACAATCATTATATTTCGGTAATATTCGGCTAAAAACTAGGGATAAAGAAAGCGCGGGTGACTATTGATTCCGGTTTCTTATTGTGATTCAGATTAACGCAGGTTATTTGCATTGATATGATTAAGAACAACATCGCTCGATGATGTGGTGATGATAGATTTTTCGGTCCACGATGGCGGCGCAACTGCTCCGGAATCCTCTGGTACCTTCGTAGGGAACACCTTTTAAGCACAGAAAATTACCTCACGTAACTTTTCCTGAAGGGAACTATTAACACGTTTGGCTCGCATATCGCCTTACCTTGATCTTTCCATCGCGATTTTTTTACTATCACTCATTAAGAGCTATCCTTATTTTCACTATGTGAAAAATCTATATAGAACAGCGTAACACATTATCATATACATACGCGTGTACATAAAACGCATGTAAAATACAACCAGTTTGCATTTACTTTAAGACAATGCAAATGCAGGTGTAATGTTCAATAAGTGATAAGATTACGTAAAGTGTATATCACAACTACCGAACTTGTAACATTGTTCTTACCGCTTTTAAGAGTAAAAACAATTGCTAATTTTTTGCTGAAACTTTTCACATGAATACATTCCATGTAACGCGCGATAATTACGATAATTATATTCATAATATCGATATATCATAAATGACATATTGCGTCATGAAATGAGAATATCATGTTGATGAAATCGTTGCTACTAAAGCGTAAAATAAAAGCTGGCAGGCTTGTAAAACCATCGCTCTCTATTCAATTGACTTGTGAGCACACAAAATATAATTAGAAAGTGGTTACAATGTGCATTAATAAACAAGAAAAGCTTCACGACATTCCTTCATAAGATTCTTTCCAAAATTCTCAAAAGCCTTACCTCTATCGGTGTCGAGGCCGTAGTCGACGATGTCGTAATCGATGGCACCACAGCTTGTCCACTGGACGGTTTTCTCACAAACAATTCTGCCCCTTTATATCTCGCGCTGAATCTTGGCGGAGAACCATTCGGCGTAATTCTGCCGGCTGAATTCTATTTGCACAAAAATACAATACACAATATTCTTCAACATGTAAAATATAGAAATGTACATTGCAATTTAAATATTTCTTTTAACAAACACAATTGGTTTTATTTGATTCAAAATTAAAAATCATTTATTTCTGTACTTGTCCACTTGCGAATTAATTATTACGACTTCAAACAATCATTTTAACAAAGTTCTTACATAATATATATATTAAATTATTTTCCAAAAATTGCTTTCACGCGACTTCTGCTTGTTACAAAGAGAGAGTGTCTTAGAATAATTATCCTCTCAACTAGATATCACAGGATGTTATGATTTAATTTAGACAGGAAGCAGATAATTTTCTGAAACTTATCCAATCACTTACCCCGGTGTCCACGTTGGAGTAGGCTGCGGAAAAGACAGGTGTCTTATTACCCAAGGTGTTCAAAAGCGGTGCCACGGTGCTTCGCAACTGTTCCAACAGCGTGGTGGTGTTTCCGTTGAGGAACGTGCTTCTGGTGGGATTGAAAATGTTGGAGCTGCCGCTGTTGCCGTTGCTAGTTTCAGCGACACCAGACACCTGCGACTTGGTATCGTTCGAAGTATCGATCCTCACGCTGACGAGCGGTTCGGAGGGCGAAGAACGAGCGGTCGGCGTGACGAACCGATCTTTGGTCGGTTTCGGCGTGATGGTGACGCCAGCAGGATCTTCTCTAGCCACCGTCGACTGCTGGACCAGCTGGCTGGTCGGCACCTCGGAGTGCCTCCTGTAGGTCGCCGTACGCGGCCGGAAATCTCGTCGCTTCGTCTGCGTCAGCGCCGACTCCGTGCTGAGCGGCTTAGGAATGGCGTCGTACGGCGTGAAAACGCCGGATTTCTTTCTGACGTATCTGCTGGTGGGACCGGCGGTTCTCGATGTCACCATAGAGATCGTTATCTTGTCCGGCCGCTGTTGCTTCGTGTAACGAGGCCGGAAGCTGCTCCTCGTCGCGTCGCTCGACGAGCTCGTCTTCTCCTCGTCCTTCAACGAGTCGAATTTCCTCGCATCAGGAATGTAGACGGGATAATGTTCCTCCGACTGCGAGTCCGCGGACGACAAATGCGTGCTTCTCGGCGTGACGACAGTCGGCGATAGCGTTACCTCGTGAGGGAACTTCGTGGTGTAAACTTGTGCAAACTCCGTCGTCGTAGGATCTTTCTGCACGTTGTAAGTCTGCTTATCCAGCCCAATTGTTCTGACGGACATTTTATCCAGCGGTTCGACGGTTGTAAGAACGTTGTTCTCGTCCGCAGCGTCCACTGAATTTGGCGACATAGACGTTTCATCCTGCGAATACCGTGGGATTTTCGTCATATCGATAGTCGTGGCTCCTGCTTCCTCCGTGGTGCCGCGATACGAGACCGTAATTCTGCGAGGTATATTGAATTCGGTGATCGACGGTCCTTCCACGACGGGCAAAGACGCGATTGTTCTTTCAGAGGACACGCGACTTTTCTTGGTCGCGATCGTAGACGATGCGATAGAAGCATCGATACTTCCATCCTTGGAGGACTTTCTGGCGTCTAGGATCTTCCATCTGCCTCTCGCGATCGATTTCTCTGCTCCGATTATCGGACTTCCGTGTGTGACACGAGCACCGCTGAGTTTGTTGGTCGCTTTTGTCGTTTTCTCTACGTTCCTGCTTTCGCTGACCGCCGACACGTCTGTCGATTTACCGGAATAAGGGGTTGTCGTCACGTCGAAGTCTTTCTCGTCAACGTTCAGTTCGGGTTTGATTAATCTCCTAGCTAAGTCCAACTTCAGCTTGGACCTTTCGGAGAAGAGGGACGATGTGCTTGGTTTCGTGGCCTGAAAAGGTCGTTCAAAAAGCTCCATTTTAAGTGCGCGACTGAAATCGCCAAGCGTTCGTAAGCAACCTGCCGAAAGCTCGGAAGTAAACGCTGTTAGTACGATCTCGACGAGACATTCGTCGTCCTCGACTCGAAGCGACGTTCTCAAGACTGTTCGTAAAACTTAATCGTACAGGTAAACGTAAACTGTATTCTTTATTTTTATAACAATAGAAAAGTTGATATAATCGTTTAGCAGCGCTACACTGAACTTTTGCTTTTAACGGAAGAATAGAAGCCGGATGAACTGAAGAAAGAAGACGATCGACGCAACCAGCTGGCCAACGACATCGAACCAAGATTTCGTTGGCGTGGACTGAAAGTTCAATCGTTAGATCTTGTCAGGTGCCACGATTTAAATTTTTACACTTTGCAAGGCAAGTAAGGTGTGAGATAAGCGCGAATCGTGTATGAAAATATGTCTACTCGTGTTTTAAAGGCATATAAAATTTTACGTACAAAATACTTGAAGAAGTATGTGTTAAAAGTGCATAAAAATTAGCGAATTATCGTGTACTACTTCTCATGTATGTAAAGCATATTTTTGTAATGCAATTTTGCGGATAAACAATGATTTATTTTTTCAATGTAATATTCTTGTTTGCAAATGTATATATACAGTATTTACAGATCAATATTTATAATTAGATGTCATAGTTCAAAAGAAAAATTTCAAGTGACAGATGTATGAGGACTGTACGCGTTTTCTATGTCGCGTTAAGTAGGCCGCGATACCTGTAAGCGAGCGATCAGGCTCTTTCACTTATTTTTAATTGAATTTATCTTTCTAACAAACAATCACGGCGCAACGATATATTGTTCTCTACACCTGTGCTTCGAACAAATATAATGGGTACACCACCTGCGGAATCATATTAAATTCTCTTTCCTTTCCCTTTCTCTTTTTTTATTATCAGTCTCTTTCACTTTTTTCACTCGACAAAATGTTCTTATAAATTGGACGTATAAAACATTGAAAATAATTAAGGATTTAAGAGAATTGAAAATTTTTAGATATTGTTGAAGCATCATAGAAAATTGCTGTAAATTGTGCTTTTACTCCGCGAAAGGTAGCCGAGATAAAAGGTCTATTTAGTATTCCAGTTAGCAAACCTAGTAATAAACTTTTATGACATATCTCGAGAAGCGCATCAAATCAAGTTCAATTATCCGATTGAATAAGAACGCGGCCATTACTTGATTCGCTTCAATAACTTATCTACGAGTGTACTTTCTCCTGAATTAGTAGGTAACGTAAGAAGGAAGAGACAAGTTGATTATATCAAAATCAGCTTGCAAAATCCCTATTCATTCATTGCATCGTTAATCGACATCTATTCAGTTTTCATTTCCAATCATTAAAAGCGCTGGAAGGTGAAACTAAGATCGCAGCCAACGCGATCGATAAAAGATGCTGAGATTATGATATTTTAAGATTTGTGCAATTGATATATCTTGAGAAAACTTCTCGTCGAGGATTCGCCGCTCCTTGCATCGCGATATATCATTCAATCCAGTCTCGTTTGGATAGTCACCGTTATACCCATGTCTCAAGCTTACGCAAACGCATCTCGAAAGCTTTCCGGCGAAAGCTTCGAAGAGTGAACTCATCGAAATCATAACTGTTTTGATTACATTTTACCATCACCGAATAAGCTTGGCGATACTAATCATGAAGATGTTAATAATGCATCATCTTCCAATTCCATTTGGTACTTAATAATGCATTTGTGTGAGTTTATAACAGCCAATACACCATTTATTATTCCGCATTATACTGCTGTCGGCTTCGATCGCAGTAATTTGCAGCGACCGCATTCGATGATTGATGATTACAAGAAATGTTTCCACGATTCCCTCGTGAAAAGTGGAATTCGAATTAAATCGTTGCTTTATATCTCTCCACCCGAAACTGAAAATAAACTCGATGTATCAAAAATTAGGTATTTTTTCCCGTGAACAAATATCTAATTGAAAAATCCAAGGAAAGTCCAGAAAAGGTTCTCCGTAGGTGAGCACGCGCGAGGAAATAACAAAGCCGGTCCCGATTAATGCGCAAAAATCTCAATTTGCGATAACAATCAAACTGAACTGCCGTTATGTTCTTACGCGTGTTGAATATAAAAGATACGAGGTTTGTAAAATCATTTAAGATTATGTCTGTCGCAAATGCATTTCCAACGGTTTCGATTTTTTCGAATACATGCATCGGTTTCGTGCTGGAACGTGTAAATCAGCGGAAGAGTAAGTTCCTTGAACTGTTCCTACGTGGAGCATTTTGAGATTTATACAATACATAAGTAAGAGAATGTCGCGAGTCACCACCACATTAATTAATTTTCATTTCTACTTACTATTATTCCCTCTTTATGAATTTATTAATGCAAATATGCACATGCTATTCGATAATAAAAGACTAACTACTGCTTCATGCTAAATATCAACATTTTCAATATTAATCAAATAAATTAAACTGAGAGAAATGAGATCGTTAATATGTTACGTGTAATAAACTATTAGTTGATTTAGCGAATATATCAACCGTCATGTCTTACCTGCAAGCTGGCCCTAGTTGTACTCTTCGCCCCGGTAACTTTTGAGTTCGAATTTTTCTGAAAGTATTCTTTCACTGAGTGCGCTTGTTTGATTATTCAATTTCTTTAGCAGCTTTAATGCAAGAGTATCATATAGTCTGCGGTAAAAATTTAGAAGTAGACGACTTAGAAAAGTTTAAGAAAAATTTTGAGTTATCTTTAATACATTTTTATCGCGCATTAATAATTAAAAAAAAAAAGAAATAAAAACTTCCAGTTTTATAATATGCCGTGCATCCTTATCTGAATTATAAGTGTATAAAATTATTAATAATTATTATTTTCTTCTTTAGCTAAAAAGTTATTATGTTCCTATTGTAATTATATATAAATTAATACGAGGAACGTAATAATAAAAATTCTTGCTAGAATAAAATAAAATTTCCATAAATATTCAGACTCACCAATTGTGACAGTCTAGCCCGGAATGCGGGCGGATAATTATCGCTTTCTTCTGACTCCAGCCGCTTGGGTAGACTAAAGCTTTCGGATTTGTGGAAAGTCTTGTTGCCTCTCGTCGTGCTCTTTGCGACGCCTGACACGGTATTGCTCTCATACTTCGCTTTTGGCCTTTTGGTGCTGCCTCTTCTTCCGGCTTTCGCGTTACTCAACGACGTCTCGGTGCTGCTTGACAAATCATTGGCCAAGATGATCTCGTTGGTCTGATCTTGATTAATTGATGTGGAGGTAGACGAAGGAGTGTCGTAATTGACATGACCAGGTCGACGTCTGAGAGTCCACCCGGGATTGCCTTGTAATTGCGTTTCACTTTTCGGCGTGGTGCTCTTCAAATCTGCATTTCTCGAAGAAGATTCCTCGGTGGTGCTCTTTCGGCCGCGGAAGCCTAGACCATGATTAAAGAAATCTTCCTTCGGAGGTTTCTTCGGTCGAGTACTTTCCTCTCTTCCTTTGCTTCGATAGACTCGCTCGGTTGAAGAGGACATTCCAGTAGTTGTTGACGATTTAATCGTCGTGATGGCAGAATTGGATGTCGTAATCTCGGTATCCAGAGCAGAAACGGTCGTAGTTTCGGCAATTGTCGCTTTCGGAATATAAATGGTGGTTATGTCTGGGAAAAATGTGAAAATTATTGCAAAATATTGTAGAAATAATTGCTTCTTAACTCTAAATTTAAATTACGGAAACTTTTATGTACTTGATATAAATATCTTTAGAAATTTTATCAAGTGTGCACTAATTGAGCAATTAAAGCAATTTATTATAAGAGAAATAAAATGAATATCTTTTTAAATAATTCCAAATTAAACTTACCAAGATCGCTGACAGTGCGCGACCGACTTCTGGGTTGCGTTCGAGCATCTTGCTCATCCACTTTAGTTTCCGCAATTTTTGCTCTATTATCGTTAGATCTTCGTTTTCCGTCGGGGATGCGTCTGGATGAACTGCGTCGTACTTCCGTTCGTCCATTTGTATTTATTTCGGAATCGGCGTTTCTGTTTCTGCCACTATTTCTCGCTTCCGTCGCGGCTGCGTCTCGTGATTTATGCACGGAACGATCTCTGGCATTCGCGTTCTTTGCACTGGATCTGCGTCTAGAATTGGGAGATCGTCCATTTGTCTCCGCATTCGCGGTGTCATCGAATTTGGCTCGACGAGTTCCGGAATTCGCTGTCTGATTAGAATCGTCTGTCGCGAATCTGCCACGAGGCTTCGATCGGTCGGATTGTCTGCTCGTTTTCGCGCTCGATCTCGCGATATCATTGCTTTCCTCTTTAACCGGTCTCGAGATTTGCCTTGGAGACACACTGGCGGACGAAGTCGTAGCGGATGTTACTAGATTAGAATTGGCATCCTCGTTATTTCCGAGTGTCAGAGGAATGTCCACTCTGACGCTCTCGGAGCCCGATAGCGAAACGTCTCGTTCTTTGATTTTACTAGAGTTATTCGCGCCTTTCGCATCTAGTTTTCTCGATGTGTTCACTTTCGAGGCGACGTTCTCGATTGCCTTCGAATGCTCCAATCGTGCCTCCTCCGCTTCCGATCCATTTCTCGGGCTTTTAGTTTCTTGTAGATTTTTATTCGAGAAATTTCCGGACGGATTCACTTGGCTCTTCGATTCCCTTCCATTGTTATTTGCATAAATCTTCCTCCCCGTTCTTGAGCGTAAGTGGTCTGGCGATTTCGTCACTTCGAGATCCAACTTTGCATTATCCACCCAAACAAGAGACGCGTCCGAAGATACTCTTCGAGACGCCGTCTGCCGTTTTGGCGTTTGAGATTCCGGAACGCTTTCTTTGTTGTCATCTTGCCTGCTTTTTATTGTTTCTTCTTTAGGCGCTTGAGCAATATGCGATCTTGAACGATTTCGTAAATTATCGATACTAGGATTTAAATGTCTCGCATTTGTCTGTGATGTAGCAACGGAATCATTAGTAGTTTTTGATGGCTCTAATTTCGATCGCGATCTGCTCGAACTTTCTCTTGCAAAATGCGATTCATGTTGTTTTAAATTGGAATCTACCTCTGAACGGGAACTTTTATCGCGAGGCGATCTAGTCGTTGATGTGGAAGAACTACTGGATTCTGTAGTCGGATTGGAATGATATCGTGCACTGCCGCGACTTTGTACCTTCGGCCTGTCGGTCTGAAAAGATATTACAATACACAATTGTATTTTTAACAATTTAATTTAATTCAGGTTACGTAGTTTACCTTAATTAAAACATAAATAAAGCTAAACTATTTCCTAAATATCGCATTTTGTATTTTATTGATATAATATATTAATTTTTGAATCTATTATTGAATAATATTTAATTATTTTTTAATTAAACAACAATCGATTGTGTGCTTTTAAATTAATTGTAAGCACAATTGGTTTTAATATTTGCGTTAGCTATCTGCATTTAATCAGTAATAAACGCAAATTAAGAGGCATAAAAACTTTCAAATTACAGGGATGTTAAAAAAAAATACGTAAAATAGTTGCTTCGGAAGATCTTAGTTAGAAGTTTCGTTTACAGTAATTGATGAACAATCACTCGATAACCATAATTGTTTGATTAACGTGTACTTAGGAAATTGTGATCGCCTCAATATAAAAAAAGACGAAACGTATCGTGTAATCAAAAGTGCGGGCTTTGCTATCGGAAGAAAGAAAAATCGTAGCGACATGCGGCAGGTCGATTACAAAGATGCCATACCTGACGAAATCGCGGAAAAAGTATCAATTATGTGATTAAAAGAATCTTCCGAAGTCGCAATTAACGCAAATGGTAATAACCGGTCTCCGACGGCTCGATCGATCGATCGGTTGCCGTTGACAATAATGCAATTATATAATCGTGGTTCCAGTTGTTACAGCAAGTAGTAGACTTTACTCGTCACAGATTATACCTTCGCCGACAGCGTTAATAAGCAGCATTAAAACATTCGTGACTGCATCGGCCTGTTGACGCTTGGAGGGAAATGGCCCTAGCGTGCACACTCTTCATTTAGTATTTTTCGTTCTTTTTTTTATTCGTGCAACAAACTTATTTCCAAATTTGCACGAGACGTAAATTAGACGGCGGTACCGTTCGATTTCTGATCTATTGAGTTTTCCGCGTGCTGCGGCAGTTCTTGTAATGCGGCGTGTCAAATTAATCCGCAGCGAATCGATAAAACCGTGAATCGATTTATACATGAGTCTAACAACTATCAATTTAAAATTATGGAAACTTAAAGATACAGCAGCACGCAGCAGCTCTGAAGATACTGAGATTTAATAGAAGTTTACGGATTCAAAGATTTAGCTTCAGGTGTTCAGAACTCCAAGTAATTCTTTAAGCATTAATCTAAAATTTCGTAAATGTGTGTAAAAAATTAAACATTAATGAGTTTGTAAATCTGTAGTTTAATAGCAGAACTAATTCTAACACTAATTCGAAATCTTGATCCATTATATTGCCTGAATATTCAAAATATAAAATATACACGTGAGAAGCATGTTTTTAATGTTGGAAAATATATTATTAAACATTTTGTTTATTTATTTGATAAATGTTGAGTAATTTTCCAAGGGAAAAATTTATTATTATTTTCTCACTTGCGGGTATTCGAGACTTCTTTGTACGATTTAACGACTGCTCGACTTCAAGAAAATTCTTTATCAACATGAATGAAAAATCTACATATATCTCATGTCCGTATTATGAAATAGCATTCCTTCGGGAAAACAACTTGTAACCTTACGCGGTTTGTGGCTTTTGCGAATATGCGTTCTAGTTTCGTTTACGATCTGTCTAAACCTTAAGTCTACATTTAGTGGCCGTACAATCGATGAAAGTAAAAGTCAGTGTATAACGTCACGCCGCGTTGCTGCGTAAGGCATACCGCTAAAAACTACCGTGAGCTACCTGCTTAATTGAACTTACGTGTAATCAAGATGAGGAAAATTGGAGAACAATGTGTCTTCAAAGCAATATACAGATTTAATACTTCAAATGATATAAGAGATAAGATCGTTACCAAATCTATTTGCTTGAGCCGATTGAGTAACTCGGGAAGCAAAATTAAAAGAACAATTGCAAAATAATAAGATAGATATTATTGAAAAATAAAATAAAATATAAATATTAAAATATGTTAATGTGGAGCGTGCAATCACATATTCCGGAATCAAATCGTTAAGGAAATGTGTTACATATTGTTGGAGGAAATTGTTACGAAAAGAGTGACGGCAAGCGGCGGGAGGGGAGGGGGGGAAGGATTCCGGGAACAACCTATGTAAAATAGTGCAAAAGAAAGTAATGTAATTGAGAGTGAAAGAAAGTCGAATCATTGTAATTTAGTTAATGATACTTGTGCAAAAATATGATTCTAAATGCCGCTTGACGCTATTACGAAATCAATACGACTTGTAACACCGTGTAAATTATTGGATATTGGAAAAGTTCTTTGGACAAAGTGAGAGGCTTGCTTCGCTCTCTGAAGGTAGACTGCTTCTTGATTCTACATCGTCGAATCAAAAGGTTCGTCTACATCCGGGCACATTGTCCTTGCCTCGGAGCTTGATAGAATTGGAATCGATAATATTATATTTAATCCAATTATTAATTAAGGTCAGCTCGTAAAATAGTCTACATCACTTCTTGCGAAAGTTTCAGAATTACTTGGCAAAGTTGTTATTCATGACGCAATCATTTTTATTCATTTGTAATTTATTTTCCACTTACGATTTATGATTTAGTTCTTTTTATTACATGTTATTTTATGTAATTCAAGTGTGATGAAATCTGTATAAGTAATTAAACTATTAATCAGTAAATTAATCAGTAAATAATGATACAAAGTTTTAATAATATATTTAATTACAATTGAGGCAAATAAAAGAACGTTGAAAATTTTAAAATAAGAAAAATGGAAGACATTTTATGTCTGCAAATTACTGCAGAAAACTTTCAAGGTTTCTTTGCAAATCATTATCTTATATGTAATGTATATAAGATGTGAGTGTACATTAACAGGCGTGACCTAAAAAAAAACTGGTTCGAATGAGCCAGTTTGGAGGGTGTGGTCTCGTCATCGGGCTCAACTAAAGTAATTTAAGAGTTTATTTTAAAATTGTCACTTTCTCTCGTACTTTCATCATCTTTTGTGCATTGTGTGTAAGAAACATGCGAATATATTTATGATTTCTCCTGTTTAGAAGAATCTTAATATTTAAGCATAAATAAATAAGTAAAGAATTTTTTTTTACCATTTGAATAATGTGATAAAAGATAGGAATACAAATCAAACTTGAAATACTATAATAATATAGAAAACTAGCGACTATGTTTGCGATGTACTTTAAAAAGTTTCCTACACCTGGCGGACGAATGTCGATTGAATCACTCTACAATAATCCTTGATGTGACTAAAGACTTTCAATATTGCAATATAAAGTAACATTTCTAGTTAATGAGAGAAATCGAATGACAGCTGAAAGATATTTGTGCATATATAACAAAAATAATTCCGGCTTTTGCCATTTTGAATGAATTATCATATACTTGAATTTATGTAGTGAAATCAATTTATGCATCTTGATTTTAATAGGTTTAAAAATTAACCCCGATTTTATGCATTCATTTATGAAATCCGGAAACAACTCGGTAAGGTCACAAAAGGAGAAAGTACATTTTTTGCAATATCAATCTTTTGAAAGATGACATTCATCGAAATTTGCTTAATTTGGTGAGATTTTATTGTAGTTTTGACAATAATTTATGTAGTGAAAGTATTTACGGCTTGCTCAATATATTCTATTTTTTGAATAGTTTTATATTTAAAAAATTAAATAAAGAATTATAAAATTCCTTTTAATATAACAGCTGGTTGCGCGGTTTAGCAAATTTTTTTAAGTAATCGAAATGTAAAACATTAACATTAAATGTGATTATTATTTTCGGAAAGACATAAGGTACATTGCATAATAATTTATTTCAGTAAAATGTGTGTGTTGTATAACATAAACAATTTTATGCGTAAAAGTTTTTTGCAAGAGGAAAAAAACAGTCATATAATTCCAACAAATTTGTTATGATATAAATAAAACGAAATGTATCGTATGCCAATTGCTACGAAACATCTAAACTTATTGACATTTAATTAGCTGCCAATTATTGCTTTTTGCCATCATTTTACTTGATTATACTTTCTACAATTTAAAGTTCCGTATCGAAACGTTTTGTAATAAGTCGTAGCGTCGCGAAATAAAAATTGGATCTTATTACAGCAGGTTAAAGTTGAGCTCATAATTTCGCGTGCAACGCATTGCGAGAATTACATTGCACAAGCATTAAAAAGAAATTGTAAAAACTTAGATGGAACTACGATAAATATTTTTCATTTTTCGTTTCACGTTAGAGCAAATTATTTGTAAAAAAAAAAGAATAAAAATTCCTAAGTAAGATGTTCATTAACTTGCACAAATTTTACATTTATATATTTTGAATATAATTTTGATTCTTGGTCATTAAACAATAAGGAAGTATTTTTCGCTTCTCAACAAGTGGAATTTATTTCTCCTTGCGTTATTTCTCAAGTAGTTGATTCAACGGAGAACAATAAACGCTTGTTCTCACAAGTGAAGAATCACTTATCATCCCTTGTTACAAATGCTAGAATGTTACAAACGCTAAAATGACTGAGAAAATGATTTTACTATTGTAATTATCTTATGTTACGATTGACTGCGGACTCCCAGACATTCTATGTAAGTGGGTCGTTATTAACAATCAGTTTAGTGTCTGCAAAGTACGATATATTATCACCAGAAGCTTCCCTCGAATAATAATTCATATCAAAAATGTTAATTATTATATAATTTAAATAAAATAGAATATTGTTTAATTTTATGATACACTACAATACTTTAGTTGCTGTTTTTTTAATATTATTACGATAAAAATTATTTCTAATTTTCAATAATTAATAAAGAATTTTATTAAAATATTTATTCTACCAAAATTTTACACGTGTTTTACTTTATTCCTTAGAGACAATTAATTTTCAAGAGTGCAATTATTTACGTCTTTTTTTCTCTTTGTATTCTGAATTAATTATCATAATATAACGCGTATAACAACGCGTATAACAACTCTTTCACAGCAAACATGATATTCCTGGCATGTAACGTTCCAAAAAAGTTGTTTGTTGAATATATATAAAAATAAGGAACTTAAGATGTAACGAATGAATCAGGAAGATCACTGAAATAAGCGATGCAGAAGAAGCGCTTTCTCCGATGGAAAACTCGACTTAGATCGCACTTGTGCAATGTGCTACATCCGTCTGCGAGCACACTTATCGGCGCGTGTGTATCCGTACACGCAATAAAATATCATCAAGCCATACGCGCTATTCAGCATGATACGCAATATGTACATGAACGTTCGAGATTAGGACGAGGACGGAGCGGGATGTTGATTACAAATTATGAAGTATGTATTTCATCGGCAAAGGGAATTGACGTCTTGTCCTGACGTATGTATTATATATTACGACGTTTGCCAGAGATACAGATCGCGTCGTTTTACTAGGGCATATTGCACAACATGCGTTTCTAATTAAAGGCCTCGCAGCAACAGCTTGTTAACAAGACGCACGAGGGTAAACCTCGTGAGATTTTTTATTTATGTTTACTTAGAGATTTTTTCAATTAGCACATTCAATCAAAAGCTTTAGCGCTCCGCGTCGAGATAATAGATTAAGAAATGAATTTTGCAAAAATTACTGCCTTTTGTCAATAATTTATATTCGCTCGCATATGAAGTTTGATGCGTGCAATTCGGCATGTTTATATTTTTTTATCCCCTTTTAATTATAACAAATAATAAAGTTTTAGATGAATAGAAGAGTTGTTCGCATCGGATTCGGATGGACAGGAGCTTATATCGAGTAACGACAAATATGCAAAGAATGTTACTTAGCGTAATTATTCGGAGCATATCTATAACTGTTTACCAATACTGCATAATTCAGAAGCGACCCATTAAACTGAATTCTTTTAAGATTAACAGTGGGCATTGCAGATCGTTGCAGATCAGTAAGAGGCGTCTGCCTTGAACCGTGTACCGATTTCCGTTGAGATGATTTACAAATCAAGAAATCTTCATAATGTTACACAAATTATCCGTTATTATGACGAAATGAAAGAAGTCGACGGACGTCGCAATATTTTATAAAGAACCGTTCACTCATACGATATATAAAAACTGTCCTAGAATGAGCAACGTAGATGGCTTTGCCTAACACGTATCATTAAATCGAACATCTCGTTCTTGTTTCTGTTGGATTATAATCGTTAGTGCACAGTAAAATAGCTATGCATCAATCTTGCGCTTGTATTTGTTAAAGGGATACGCGCGTTGGCAATTGCGTATACTAATGCAAACTAGTTCAATCTAGAATCTAACGAGCAGATATATCGACAACATAATCCTCTCCCGAATTTGTATTGATTTCTACATAAACATAGAGTGCGATCTAGTGAATAGGTATTGTAAAAAAATATTTTGCCGAGATCGCAAAGCAGAGTGAAGCATAAAGAAAATATTTTTGATCACGCGGTATATATCGTTCGCTAAAAGCGAACGGCGCGCGACTAGGCGTGGTCCACGCGAACTCTTGCGATCTCTTTTTTTCTTCTTATCCTCTCACTTCATTTATGCATACTCTGTATTGTATCTGTTGGACCGATTCGATACCCACATTAGTGCGCGAAATGTTTGTGCGTTCGATAAACATAGAAATTATAATTGTAGTTAATGATGATAATGCAAGAAATAAGAGATTGGAAGCTGCAAGATAATGTGCAAATTTTCGTAAACAGAAATATTTATGTCAATTCTTAATCGATGTGTCCTTCTTGTTGATTATATAATCGCATCAATATCGTTGCGTTATGCGCTGTAATAAATTTTTTTTAAATTTTTCCATAAATTTTCATGATCTACATCCATCGCTACATTTATGTAGCACAAGCCTACGAGCGCTCCTAACATAGAAATCGTTATATAAAACTCAACATGAAGAAATAAGCAAGAAGTTCATGCATGTCGAATCACTACATTTACTTGAAAATCCATTGCATTATGTATTGAGGCACCTATATGTTCATTGATAGATAACTAATGATAATTGATGATCAATAATGATAGTTAATACGCTAATCCGCAGAATTCATTAAATTTATTCATTAAATAAAAAAATGTATACTTATGTCCAAATAGAATAATTAAATAGCATATTACAAACAGCAAAAATCCTTCTTGATTTCAGAGTTTTATATTTAATTCTTTTTAAAAACGCACTGTGCACATCTCTCTCGATTAAAATATGCAAAACGGCAAACTTGTAAAATATGCGGAAATGAATTTGACATTTCGCAACTTTCACAACTTTCGTAATTTTAACTTTTTAATCTCAGTAAAAGGAATATCAATGTTGTATTATATTCATCAATATGTATGATTCGATAGGTGAAATTCGAAATTACTCAAAAAATATTGGACCATACTTGATCGCTTTTCTATATTTGACCATAGCATTTAGCCAATATAACGTTTAAAAAAATTAATTATTGTTTTTGAAAAACTATTGGTTAAATATACTTAATAACATAAAATTGCGTTCATTAATTCTTACGAATCAAACTTGACCTCATTTGAAAAATAATCGCACAGATCACAATTTCCTTTTGCTATGGTGTTCGAGTAACTATGCTCAAATGACTGTTTTGTATCCTCAAGTTTGAAAAAACATTGAGAAGTATTGCATATAAAATAAGATACATTCACAAAAAAACTAGAATTTTACATATTAATTTTCAAAATTTATTATCTGAAAATTATTACAGCAGTCGATATATGTATTTGAATTCTCAAAAACGTTAAACAATAATTATTTTTTACGTTTTCTTAAATTACTTAATAAGAACTATATTAATGTACGAAAATAATAATGTAGTTCTTGAAATGTTGGAAAAATTTCACAACTATGCATTATTTTACTAACAATTTCCAATATATGTGTCAGTTAATATTCTTGATCTTTCTGTGCACAGGCTTTTTTCTACACGATCAGAAAATATACATGAGTTTAAATTCTTGCAAGCTTTAATAAATTCTTTAATAAAAAAGCACATAAGATGATTATTTTTATATGTCAGAACTCGTTTCAACAACCTTTACGGTGAAAGAGTTAGCGAAAGCGTCCGAGATCTTCTCGGCAATCGCATTATTATAGGCAAATGCAAAACGAATAGTTGAAATCTGGACATCCGTGCGCGATCGAAAGGAAAAACAAGTGTCTCAACGCGTTAACAAATTGCAGAGTATATTTCTAGTTTCACTTTTATGCGATTTTTATTTGTACTTTCATATTCGTTGAATTCATGAATTATATTATAATTAATCAACATATGTAGTTGTGACAATTGTCATCGTACAGTTTTGCGAAATAAATGTAGCTGATTTTATATATTGTTTTAACCCATTTTGAACGATCTATAATTTGCAACAAAATTTGAGACAGAATTTTATTTATAATTTTATATATTATATAATATAAAAAACATTGTGTATGGAAAAATTAGCATACACATGTGTAAATATAAAATATATATCAGTAATATATATTTTATATATGTGTACTCCAAATTTTCACACATAAATATTTTTTATTATATAATATTATAAATTTCTATTTCAAAATCTGTCGCAAATTATAAATCATCAAAAGCAAGTTTGAAGAGAAATTATTTTTGATATGGTAATTATTTTTCTAATTTATGTACTGTTAATATTTGACTAACTTTACTAAAATTTTATTTTAGTTTTGAAAAAAAGAAATTTTAATCAAATTTAAACAAATAATGGAATTATTATTTAATCGCTCAAAGATTTTATTTACGAGAAACCTGCCATTTTGCGTCGCGTATAACTTGGAAATTATTGATTTCATCTTTTAATTAAAATTGATTAAACATCCTTTATAGATTAATCACAGAATCTGTCATTAAAATGTTTTCTGAAATGCTCTGTGCAGAACAAACAGTGGAGCCGACATCAGCAACGTGCGATTGAATTTAATCAAATAAAAAAATGTCATTATTGTGAATCCTTCGTGACACAAAGATTTTCTTTTCCTTCGTTATAGAAGTAATCATCATAAGGAACTGCTTCCTTTCTCGATCTCTAATTACTGAGTATTATGCACTGCGTGCAACTTCACCTGTGCGATTTAGTTGAATAATACGAATCGACTCGTTCCGCTGGGTCGACGGCCTTCGCAAAAAAAAAGAAAAAAAAAAGGAAAGAAAATCAGCACGTTACAGTGTCGTAAACTGCAACGTTAAGAACGCATCCTTGACACAAAACGCGTGAAAAACCGAGCTTATAGATTTTCAAATGCACATTGCGCGTTCTTTGATCAAGAATTACGCTTTAATATATACTTTTCTAATTTGTGTTTCTTATTTTGTTTGCATTGTAATTGCGTCACAACGTAATAAAAAGCGTCGAAGTTTATGTATCGACACAGAATGATTCAGAATCACTGTCCATTTCTTTTCAATTTATAAATGCACAGACATAAATAATTCTTCTACATTTTGTAAATAGCTTTGACTCAAAAAGATTTTTTAATCTCAATAATGTATCATATTATTATATAAATAAATTAAAAAGATGGATAGTAACTCTAATTCTATATTATTGCTTATGTAAATTATAATCTGTCATGACAACACGTTACCTGATCAGTTTGTCCACGAGTGGCTTCAGTAACAGCGAAAATCAGCAGCAATGCCACTATCAAACTCAAAGAAAACGTCCTTGTCATCCTGAAAAATATTAAACAATCTCTCTCAATAAAACTATTAAGAAATGTGGATTAAGATAAATATATAATATTTAAAATTGCAACACGCATTGATATGTTCTTTTAATAACAATTTTTTGTAGATATAAAAAGATTTATAGATTCCAGAGCCATAATACGGTTGTAAATATCATCACCATATTATTACTTGTATTTACATTTTTTTTTAATATCAAATTTTAGTATGAGTTCAATTTTACAACGGCAACTTAATATTTGTTATACGGAATGAGTGCTTTCCAATGTGCACACCGAGTGTACTTGGTTCAGTTAATATATGCGCATACACATATACATACAAACTAAACGCAAGCATTGCCTGCACTGCTCAAATTTACTTTTACTCTTGCCGCTTGTTAGTCTCTATCGGTTACGCTGCTCATTTTCAGAGTTACACGGCAATGTTGCTCTTGTTACAAGTATTCTGGTTTACCCAGTTCTGATGTAAAACTTTGTACGATAATTTTGATAAAGAAATTTAAAAAATCGTTATGTTTAATTCGTCACCGTGAGAAAAAACTTATTTATTACAAAATATGTAATCAATATAATAATGAATCTCTTCGTTAGAAAAATATAGAGCACAATATAAAAATTAATATTAATTAATATCTTCAATTTTTTAATTATCTTAAGATATTATTAAGCAACGGAAAAAAAATTATCAAGATTTCACAATAAATATTGTAATAAGTATTTGTTCGTAAGACGCTTCTATTACGCGCATGGATGAATGAAAGCGTCGTGAAGAGGGGAAGATCGATATCGAGAAAGGATCGACGATCGTACGCGAATTATCACTATTCCGAATCGTGATGTTTAACGATTCATTTGCTCCATTCCATTCAACAGTAATGCATAGCAAATGCGGACGTTATGCGGTTTATAACTCTATCTATCTACTTAAGATTTGCCATCATCGAAACGAGTAATGTAAATTTTTCGCAAACATCTGTTTTACGTTATAAATTAAACTGTGTTACGAGAACAAATATTCGCACATAATAATGTCGTTCAAAAATGCAAAGAAGTGATAACTTTATATGCATATATGAGGTCAAATGATAGCATTTCGTAACCAAAGTGCCAGTCTTAATTTCATCTATTCGTACAGTTACGCGTCGATAGAAAGTAAATTCTTTTCGTGGGTTACGCGACCGCTGATATTATATCGGTATGCTATTCTGTAACGCGCAAAACGCAGAGAATGCAATTAATTATACTCATTAATTGTTTTATGTTTATTGATAAATAAATAATAAAAATTTTCGAGCGTCAGGAATATGTAGAAGACATCTAAAAGATACTGAAAAAAGATTAGAAGGTGCTTTGTATTATTCAAAGTCAGCTTTAAACAATCATAATTTGCGACAGAATTTGAAATATAAATCTATCTGTAATTTTATGGAGTAAAAAAATATTTAAAAAAATCAAAATATATACATAAAAATATTTAAGAATATTACATATTATTAATATATTATATATATATATATGTATTCTGTATCCTTTTTCAATATTTTTAAAAAAATAATAAAAGAATAAAATTATTTATTATATAGATTATCTGATCAATAAAATACAAAACTGTATGCAACAATTTAAAAATTATGCTGTTGACATAGTAATATACAACATATTAATGTGTAATATGCAATATTCAACGAAAAAAAGTATAATACGAGTTATGAAAGATAAACGATGCAGTTAGCCTCATTTTTTATGGTGTACTTTGCAAGTATAAAATAAGTAATTAAAATAATTATAGCACGAGCTAATTCCCCCGAAATCGTTTAAGTATGATCTGTTATATCATACAAATCAATCATACGACTCGAGATGCTACTGAACGAAACTACGATCAAATATTGAAATTACGATCAAGACAGATTCGACGGAAATGAAAAGTTTTCGACGATTGAACACTCGCTTGCTTATGATTACACGGGTGCCCGAGTTTTACATAAGAAACGGAGGTCGTACGTCTGGCAGTTTGCGCACGTGAAAGTGGTCTGCCGAGTTATATCGACGAAGAACGGTCAGTTAATTCCGAGCGTGGTCCGTTAATGCTGTACGTTTCTGGGCCACGTTTTGCGGTCCACGAGAAATATATAACAATGACAAATTATCATAATTACTGTATCACAAGTTGTGTTATAATCATACAGTAGCAAAAAAATAAATGGAGATATACTTTCACACATAAGTGTGAATCCCCCAATTAGCGTCTCATTTGTGTGATTAATTAGAAATAATCATTCATTAAATAATTTATAAATTATCTTAAAATTCTTTTTAAGTCGAATCGTTTATTGACGCGCGTAAGTTCGAGATGCAAAATTTTTGATCACGCAATTTCGATTTCAGCTACGCTCACCTTGCAGCTGCTCAGTCGTGTCTAATCCTATGTCTCATTTCAAGTCACCACAGCACAATTTGTCCCGGTAATCCGTAATACTTTCTCCAATAACGGATTAAACGGAGAAACTTTAGCAAACTGAAGTAACAAGTGAATCTTTATTAAGTATTGTTTATTTCAAAAACAGCGAGAAACAAGCACTTTTTCGATAGAAATTTTGTCGAATCGGCGGCGGGGAGAAATTCGCGGCACTAAAAAAAAAAACGATCAAATCAATCACAGAATACAGGTGTTGTCGAAACGACTGGTCGATCAGGTAAGACGATGCACGTGACGCATCTTCGGACGCGCCAATTTTTCGCGCGTTCGCTGCCGACGACGATCGATAGAATGCTCCGAGACAAATGCAAGTCGATCGAACATCGGTCGTGTCAAAAATCCCGCTCGCCAACGAGGAAGAAAAAAAAAAGCATTCGACCAAGCATTTCCCTTTCGCCCGAATGTAGGACCACCACCACGCGATCACCACCATCGCCACCGTCGCCACCACCACCACCATCGTCGTTACCACCGCCGTCGTCGCCGCTGCCACTGCCTATCACCATTGCCATCGCTATCACGATCGCTGCCGTTACTATCGCCAACGTAAAAAATAATAAATAATTAAAACAACGATCGCTCTACGAAAGTGAATAAATAATACTCTTCAATAATGATATCTCGCCCCGAAAACGTAGTACGCTGTTACTGCGGACAGCATTAAATTAGATTTAATAGATTCAAAAGACTATTGTCATGATTATGATATTCTGTTCTGCTATTCAATTACGCTGATATGAATCTGTTGGATCTGTTCCTACATATCCATATTGCAGCTATAATCATTATCAATTATAGACAAATATATAGAATATTTTAAATAATAAGTAAGATTTTAAATAAAAACTCGTAGATCGAAGTTGATTCTTTGTACACCAAATAAGACATTTTATGCCGAAGAGACCTTGAGTTATTTTTTCGAATCGTATTAACTTCCAAAGGCATGGGTTTATCATGGAACGATTCTGGCGCAGGTAAAAAGTGAAAGACAACAAATCTGAAACCACAAATTAAAGAAAAAGAATCTCAGTCACGGTAAGATCAAACGATACAAAGGAAGGTCAACATCAACACTTTCGGAATATAACTTTTCCTGCACAAACCAATTCAAGTTATTTATTTAAATTTATCGCATTTGTTATGAAAATCGTGTTAAAATCTAATTTCAAAAACATTTTTAAACAGATTCTGATTTATTCTATAAAATAATTTTAGTTGATATTAATTGTTTAACGTTTGGAAACCATTACTTTTTACAAAATAATAAATCACAGTATTATTTTTTATAATTACCGATCACTTGTGCGATACATGGATACATGATACGAGAGCTCGCACGCATAAGCGATTAAAAATGTCTTTTCATATGAAGTTGCACCAATTTCACACCACTTGACGCGTGCGCATCGTTGACTTTATTTTAACTAACAATCATGAAGTATAAATATCTAGATATTCACCTCAAATGAAAATCTAGATATTTAAATCTAGATTAAAAATTGCAACTTCAAACATCAGGTTTGCAAAATTTCATACAAAATCGATAAGTGATAAAAACTCTAAAGTGGACAAAACATAATAATTTTGAAATCTAAAATAAAATAGTAATATTTTAAACTATCAATGTAGTATAACAAAAAATCCAATTAATCACAACATCAGATATCGCTCGATAATAAAGAATAAAATTGTCTATTATATTGCCAATCTTATACTTTCTTTGCTATGCCGGATACATAATGTTAATTTGAGTTATATGCACATACATCATTACTGACATTATTACAAATCACGTTGGTAAAAAAATATATCAGATAAACGATCATGATCAAGGTATATTATTTCAGGTAGCAAAAATAAGCAATGGCAAGGAGTGGTCTCCAAAATACTTACAAAGCGAAGTGTAATTCCAAGGATATCCAGCAAGGATATCTTCAAGGATTTTGATATGCCTGTAATGATCTATATACAAAAAATGTTGTGTGACTCGAAGTAATTCATTTAAATATCTGTAGAAGAATGCAATTAAAAATATCCTTAGGCTATTAAAATGTTCTTAAAATATCTTTTATTGACAGTATTATATTGAAACATATTCTATCGATGTGATATTTTATATGACATTATTAAAAGTAAGATATTTTTCATTATTTCGGAATTGATTTAAAAGCATGTGTTATATATTATTAACAGCTATTCTAATTTTAATTAAGACACGATAGATTTTAATAAAATATAAGCATTTTCAAAAAAGAGCATAGTATGAAGTTTTATATTAAAATATTTGTTTGTTACTCACGATTAGTTATATGTTTGTAACCATATTTGATATCTTCCGTGTGTTTTATAAATATCTCCTGGCCTTGGAAATAAATTAGTGTAGAGTTCAACCCATGATTCTATAACATCAGAAAATAAATTTAGAATTGTGTTTATTGCATTTTTTATCTTAGAAGAAAGCAAGCAATAAAATATAATTTTTAAAAGTGAAAGGAAAAAGAAGCAAAGTACAAATAGTGCAACTATAACAAATAGATCTATTAATGATCTATTAATGATAGTGTGCATGCTGTCATGATGAAATAAATATATGCGTTTCATTTGTAAAGCAATTAAATACCAATACAAAACTACTCCATGAAGAACGTTTGGTAAGATATCGTGCACATCACGGCATATCGCTTTCTCTTTAACATCTATGTCGCGAAACAGATCATTATAAGATCGATAATGCGTGATCGCTGATATTCTGCGGAAAGTCGGTTAAAACATGGAGAAAATGGTATGCACGATCCAATTACTTTCGCGATATAACCTGTTTATACTGATATTGAACATTAAGTACAATAACGTGAAGTATACTTCAGTTCTCTTTGAAAATGCGACGATTGGACAGGAAATGAAAAGTCGAACGATTTCTCGATTATTGTCGATAACATTGATTCATCGATAAAAATTCTTTCTCCGTTCAAGGCAAACATCTGAACTTTTCAGAACTCTAGAACTTTTTCGGAACACGTAGAATTATCAAAGTATAATCTGTAAAAGAATTAAATAGAGAATTAAGATAATGAGTTATGTCAATTTGACATAAGGTCTATTTTTCCGTCTCTATAACACCGGAAATTGAACTCACTGACTCTAGAGTTCTAATTATTGTTTTTAACCGTACTTTTTACGCTTTCTAATAATTCCCCTATTTCTCTCTTTGTTCCACCAAGCTTCAAGTACTATATCATTTATCTCAAATTGTCATTTAAAATATGCGAAATATAAAAAAAAACGCAGGTAAGAAGGACAGTATTATTAATGGTGCGAATCAGTATGAATAGTTAGTCATACAGTCATCACGATGAATAACCGTGTGTCGTGACAGATCATCGTATGAGCGTATCTTTAACGTGATCTGCGTAACAGCTTGTAGTGATCATCATGATCGCCACTTGAAACGTGTGAAAATACTCAAACGATAATATATTTATTATTATAAGATGCATTATTGCGTGAGTGATTGAAAAAAATACACATCTGATCAATAGCATGCACGACAAAACATTTTTAGGCTAGAATTGTGTCCTGTATAAATTGTGAGGTAAATTATCTTTGACAGAAATGAGAAATATATATAGATGTATCTTTCTAAATAGATATTTCTCATAAAGTATAATTTAGAAAATCTTTTCCTGTTACTTTTTTATGATATTAATATGATGGCATATTTAAAATATTTATGTCAACTTTACAATTAAGTATAATTTATTTCTAATTACAAATTAAAATTACTTTACAGAAAATTTGCTAAAATGTCTATTGAATTGACTGAAGTAGCATCCTGTAGGATGGACCGTACGGCATCCCAAGATTCTGAATATGATGATGCTTTAGAAGTACCTGATTCATTAGAAATAACAATTAATGAGAATGGAGAGACAATACGAGTTTCTAAAGAAGAAGCAGGACATACATGTAATAAAGGTATCAAATTTATACTCTACATTTGTACTCTACAACAAGTATATTCCCTTTTATATTGGGTTTTATTTGTTTGGCATGAACATTGTTTAGTTTGCTTTATCAATTTCTTAATTACTATCTTATTCTTAATTATTAAGCTTATACATGTTTATTTATTATCAAAATCCATGAATCTAGTACAGAATTGACACACATTTAGAGTTCATACTCTGATTTTTATGCCATTTTTATTAATTTAAAAACTTTTGTTACATTTTTTTCCTCTATTATTAGAAATTCCTGGTACAGTACCTTTCACTGTTATACACAATCCACCAACAAAATTAAAAAGTCAGAATCACTGTGTATTTATTCCTGGTGAAGAAGTGCACGTAAGAATTATAGATAATGAACGTAGTGTTACCACACATCCTTTGAATCCAAATCTATATACCATAGAATTTAGACATGGATCTTTTGTTTGGACTATTAAAAAACGATATAAACATATTCAATACTTGCATAATCAATTGAAAATATATCGTGCTAGTTTGAACATACCTTTTCCTACGAAAAGCCATAGAGAGAGGAGGAACAGTCTGAAAAATCATGGGACTTTGAATGAGAAAAAGAAGAGACGTAGTGCTTTACCAAGGTAAAAATTACGTTATAACCCATATTTTTAGCAGAAATTAGAAAAAAATATAATCATGATATTACATTTACAGATTTCCTAATAAACCTGATATTCTAGTGCCTTATGAACAGTTGAATCAGAGGAGAAAAGAACTAGAAGATTATTTAAGCAATTTACTCAACATAGAAATCTACAGACAACATCCTGAAACTGTAAGTATATTTTCATTAATAATTTCATAATCATTGATTCTAATTTTATTGATTAGTCTAAAAAGGTTTTATTTACAGATTGATTTTTTGGATATTTCACACTTGTCCTTCGTGGCTGATTTAGGAATGAAAGGAAAGGAAGGTACAATTTTAAAGCGGACTGGATCAGGCGCTAAAACCAGATGCAACTTCTGTGGTTTGTTTGAATGCGGATTTTGTTTTAAATGCAACTATCTCTGTGCCTCTCTTTGTGGAAAATGGAACAAGAGACATCTCATCGTTAAGGATACCTTTGTCGCATATCTTACTCCTCAGAATGGCAGAATAAAATCTGTTATTTTGATGGACAATGGTTTTGGAGTCAGTTTTGGAATGTATACTACAGGTTCGCGAACTGGCATGCAGATTTCGAACTTGAGCAGGCACATAGTTATCAAATGCTGGACAAAACGAAAAGTTAAGGAATGGATGGAATTTATACAAGAAGTTAGTAACAGAGAAGGTAAGATCTCGGAAAATAAATTCGGAAAATTTAGCATTCTATGTTTAATTAGTTTGATTTTTATATAGGCAAAGAATTTATACAAACAAATCCACATAACTCATTTGCTCCGTATCGTTCATCCATATCTGCAACTTGGTTTGTGGATGGAGCTGATTATATGTCAGCTGTGGCTGATGCATTGGAAAATGCCAAAGAAGAAATTTTTATTGCAGACTGGTGGCTTTCACCAGAAATTCATATGAAAAGACCAATGTTTAATGGAGATTATTGGCGACTGGATAAAATTTTACAAAGAAAAGCAGTAAGTTTGACATTTTCATTGCAAATTTGAAGTTACAAATGTATTCAATGTATTACAATGTATTAATTAATCGCGAAGAAAAATTATTATTTAAAAGCTAATGCTTCAATATATAGAAGCATTTAATGTGTCAATTTTTTCTTTTACAGTTTGAAGGTGTCAAGATATTTATACTGATATATAAAGAAATTGAAGTCGCTTTGGGGATAAATAGTTATTACAGCAAACAAAAACTCGTGGAACAATGTCCTGAGAATATAAAGGTATTAAGACATCCAGATCATGCAAGGGCAGGCATTTTTCTTTGGGCTCATCATGAAAAAATCGTAGTTGTTGATCAATCTTTGGCATTTCTCGGTGGAATTGATTTATGTTACGGTAGATGGGATACCACTGAACATAAATTGATAGATTTAGGTAAATGTCCAACTTTATCATATGTACCATTATTTTTTAAAGTATGTCTTACTCATATTGATAAATTATATGTTGATTGCAGAATCCATTCATCAGTCGAGTATTTACATTTCCTCAAAAGATAAACAGATTAACACCAGTAGTAAAAAAGTATTAGCTTGCACCACTGAGAGACATGTGCTATTGCCATTGGCAATTGCAACAAATACTATCGCAATGGCAACCACAAGATCTATGCCTCTGCTGTAAATATCATTTAATCAGTATTAAATGTGAACTATAATTAAAAACAGAAACACGATCAATTTTATGTTTTTTAAAGACCTATGATGAACAGCAAAGAACAAAAAGCTCTAGTACCAACAGACGACTCGCTCTTCATGCTGCAAGAAAAAAAAGATGTAAAGTGCAATACTCCTGAGCTGCAAAAGAAGAATCTATTCGACGTTGCGAAAACAACTGTTGACAAAATGAAGAACACGGCGAAAATAAAGAGACAGGAATTAATTAATATGGTGTACAGTTCTCACGAGGCGAGTGGCGATGAAGATGCGGAGAAGTACAAATCATTCTCATTCGATATTATCGTTATTTTATGTTTGCTCTAATTAAAAAAATATGACTTTCCCATATTATAGCAATCAAGTGGAATTTGAAGATGCAGTGGATTATGCTTGCACCTTAAAACCTGCGACAAAGTTGTGGTTGGGCAAAGATTACACAAATTTTATCGTTAAAGATTTTAACGATCTTCAGAAGCCGTATCAGGATCTCGTGGACAGAACAACAACGCCTAGAATGCCATGGCACGATATTGGAATGTTAGTGCAAAACGCTGCGGCTAGAGATGTAGCTAGGCACTTTATACAGCGTTGGAATGCCGCCAAGGTACATAGAGCTACTTAGATTCACATGTATGTACCAGCAAAATGATACTAACAAAGTATTTGTTATAGCTAGAAAAAGCAAATCCGAATCCATGTTACCCTTATTTATTGCCAAAATCGTACAAAGACTGTAAGAGCTACGCTCCGTTTATCAAAGATGCAAATAAACATAATGTCACGTGTCAAGTACTGCGATCGGTGAGTTCTTGGTCGGCCGGTTTTCTCGACTCAGACACGGTAGAGCGGAGTATACAAGAAGCTTACATCCAAGCCATTAGTAAAGCAGAAAGGTATGCATCCCATCATTAACATTCAACGCTGCATTTTACTAATCTAAATAATTTCGCAGATACATATATATAGAAAATCAATTTTTCATAACACTCGCCTCCATGGAGACGGGTGGCGTAAAGAATCGCATCGGTGAGACACTATTAAAAAGAATCTTGAGAGCACACAGGGAAGGTGCGGTGTTCAGAGTATTTGTTGTAATGCCTTTATTGCCGGGCTTCGAAGGAGAAGTTGGGGGACCAAGCGGAACGGCATTACGAGCGATAACGCATTGGAATTATGCTTCTATATCGAGGTGATATCAATAATGTACAAATTGAAGAAAGAAACGTATGCATAAGTGTATTATCTTTTGTTTATCTCCCGAACAGGGGAAAGGACTCTATTCTACATCAACTGAGAGAGGCAGGTATAGAAGATCCTAGCGAATATATTACATTCCATGGCTTAAGGACCCATTCTATGCTAAACGGCACACTGGTGACGGAACTTATCTATGTTCACAGTAAACTGATAATAATAGATGATAACACAGTGATCTGTGGATCAGCTAATATAAATGACAGAAGTATGGTTGCTACACGGGACAGCGAAATAGCCGTAATAATTCATGTAAGTATATTTGTTACACTTTCTGTATTCTCATTATGAACAAGTTCTTAACACATAATTGATCGACGCTTTTTAAACGCACTTGTGCAAGATATTTGTCAATAATTTGCGGATAAATATGATAATGTAATAAGATAGAATGTGTAGATATTATGTGCTACAATATTCTGAATAATTAATAATTAAATAATTAAACTTTTATCAATGGCTTAATAATTATGTAAAGGATCAAGAATTTGTGGATGGACGTATGAACGATATACCGTTCCCTTGCGGAAAATTTGCTTCGTCTCTAAGGAAACAATTATTCCGCGAACATCTGGGACTGTTGAATACTAAGGAGAACATCAACATCGACGATGTCATTATCAAGTCCTTCTACAAAGATATATGGTGCGCTAGAAGTAAACGAAACACAGAATTACACGAAGAAGTATTTCAATGTATTCCCACCGATAAAGTAGTCAATTTTGCTATGTTGAAGCAATATCAAGACAAAATACCTCTTTCTTTATCTGATTCATTACTAGCGCAAGAAATGGTAGAAGATATTAAGGTAAATGTCTCTCAAATGCCTCATGCTCTGAAATTTAATATTTATCTAATTGAATAAATATTTTTTTCAGGGTCACTTGGTCGACTTGCCATTAAATTTCTTATGCAATGAAGATTTAAAACCTGCTACTGGCACAGTAGAAGGAATAATGCCAACCGCGTTGTGGACGTAAGTCGTGCTGTCGTAAATGAATGTTTTTGTAAATTTTTTCCAATTGAGTACATGTACATTCTCGTACACAGAAATTAATAATAGAAAATTTTTATATATTTTACGACTTTAAGAATACATGGTGCAATATTTTGCCGTTTTTTAACATAATTTTTAATTAGTAATATAAAAAGATTAGTAAACAAAAAAGGCAAAGAAAAATTTTAATCACTTTAATATATAATATATAGATATATTCAAATTTCTATTTTTAATTTATTAACTCAAGTGACAATAACTGGTCGGATTTTCACCGGCAAGCGAATTGTATATAATTTAAGAACATAGAGTACTTATATCAGGTACAACCATTTTCAATACCTCAAATATTTTTCCATACATACAGAGTATTGGTGCAAATTTTGAGATAATTATAAAAATTAATTTTTATCACTGCGAGTGTTAACTGCCGAAAGTTTTAAAACGTATCAAAAACTTTGAGAATTCTTTAAGAAGCAATCCGCAACAGAGATTGCAGATTTTTTAATTTTATTGATTGTGCAATTATAAAAGTTAAAAGTTTAAAAAATTCTAAAAAAGAAAATTTTTTTTAGAAAAAATCGTAGTTATCCAATGCTTAAGAATTATGGTAATTTACTTTGTTCAAATATAGTAGGCATTATTACTTAACAATGATTGTATTATCAAAATTTACCAAGTTACTTAATATTATTTTATTTGAACGTATAAAATGTTGTCTTTTAAACATTTTATTAGTGTTATATTAATCAATTATTTGAGATTTTCATTGAAAGCATCACTAATAAGCATTGCAATAAATACAAATTAAAGTACAAAAATATTTTAATATATACTAAAAAATCTTCATATTTCTCACTATCTCTAATGTGAAATGATTGATGTGTCCGTATAAAATTAGTGCACTTATTAATAAAAGAAAGGTTTTTTAGAAAAAAGAGAAATAGTGCACAATAAAATTGCACATGTTCGAAATATGCAATAAACTTTCTTTTTTCTAAGAAGGAAAGAAAGAAAATAAAGCAATTCCACAAATATATAAAAATCCAGAAAGTCTTATAGTACAAATATGTTGCAGAAAAATACTAATAATTAATACATTATAAAGCACAAAAATCTGTTACATTCCTCAAAAGCAACTTATCCAAAATAATGAGATTCAGCATATATTATATTTTTAATATTTTAAATTTTTATTATATTATTACGATTCTTGCCTGTTAGATAAAAATACTATTGAGAAAGTTTTTGAAAGTTATAACAAAATAATATATATATATATATAAGTTTTATTGTTACATTTATTAACCTAAGCTAAACAAAATGTTATAAAACATGCTATCGAATGCATTAATTCTTTTACAGAATGCGCACAGAACATTAATTAAGAGTACTATAAAATAATAAAATTATTTATTTCTTGTTTGTATGCAATGGATGGAATATGCATTTGATCGTATGTAATTTTTTGACAGTTGTTTTTATATTAAATTTAACTATCAACTATTTTGTGTTGTCAAAAATAAGAAAATACATGTAAGATGTGTATTTAAAAATTTTAACCACATGAAGTTTTCCATTGTAATATACGTAAGAGATATTATAATACAGTATATGTCAGGGGTGACTGATCTCTTTCTGTATATGCCAAGAAAATAATATTGCCAACAATTGAACACCCGTGATATATATATCAATTTTTTTTAAATTTAATTCAAATTATTTTTGTACATCCATGTATGTAATGTTACAATATGAATAAATATATTTAAATAAATAAGTTAAAGATTGACATTATATGTATATGATTCAATTTTACTTTCAAATATTATAAGAGCAGTCGAGTCAATATGATACACTTAAATAAAAAAGATAAAAATACATTATTGTAATTTTCGGAACCATTTAATTTTTATTCCTGTTTTTGTAAAGTCTGGTGAAATCAACCATTTTATTATTGTTGAATTTTAGGCGTTAAAATTGATAGCTAATTAACTTAATAATTTCTTTTACAATTTAGTGCAAGTTTATTTGTAATGTCATGATCAACAATAATAAATATGAACATTTTAATAACTTGTATTATTGGATAACATTATAGAAAAAAATACTACGAGATATTTAAGAATCAAATAGTACCAGCAACTGTAATTATTAATGTAGAAGTACGGGAAAATTTGTATTTGATTGATCAGGAAGTTCTTTCGAATTTTTCTATAAAAATCAAAGGCAAAAATCAAAAAAGTAATTTTTTTTATCAACCAAATATTTTAAATTCAAATTTAGCGGTCGATAGTGCTGCGATCTCCGGCTTAGTTCGTTTGGTTCATATTTTATTGTACAGCATATGGTAGTTGTGCTATAATCAATTGAACGAATTGAACGAATAAACGCTGTTATCGAAATATTGGAGCAATAACTATTTAAAATAATTATGGCGACTTTTAGTGAAGACTTATTTGACGTTTTTGATGAGCGTGGCGATGATGCCGAAATACCGGACATCGCGTTAAAGTAAGTGCACGATTGATGCGAAAAAAATGGCTAACCTCTAACCACTGTAAAAGTTAATCTCATGAGTACATGTTATTTATTTAAAACAAATGTGCAGGACAATCGAACTTGATGCGAGATTAAAGCGGCAACATGACACGGATGATGAAAAATCAATTGTTAAAAAATTACGACAAGATCCTGTGCTGGATGACATTAAGTAAAATTTTATGTTATGTTTTCATTTTAACATTTTTTGTTGTTAGAAAAAGAATAATTTAAATTTTTTAATATAAAAAATTATTGAATTAATTAAATCAAATATTAAATATTCGAAACTATACAATTATTACAATTAATCATAAAATTATGTTCACTAAAGTTTTAAACTTTATATCTTGATTATAATAAATACTTATTTATATTAAAAGAAGAAAACTTATTAATGTTTCTTGTTTCTTTTACAAGGAAAAGCATTATAAGATGTATTTATTTATAACAATTTTTAGATTTTATAGCATATGATACATAACTACATTATCTATCTACTTTATGAACTTGCAATAAGCAATAGTAAAGTTACACACAAGTTATAAATATTTAATTATTATTAATTATACATATATTTAATAGAACTTTAGAAATATAATACAAACTTTGGTTCTATCACTATACTTAAGCAACTACATTGAACATTATTTTTTTAGCTTAGAGGAAGTAGCATGTCGTATAAAAGTGCATGCTATAGACACTATAGAATCTTGTACGCATGAAGTCGCTATTCCTCCTGATCAAGATTATGTTCCTTTGGAACGTAATCAGGATAAACCAGCAAAAGAATATAAATTTATACTTGATCCGTTCCAAAAAGAAGCAATTTTATGTATAGACAACAATCAATCAGTTCTTGTTTCCGCACATACATCTGCTGGTAAAACTGTTGTAGCCGAGTAAGTATTTGACATTTAAAAAAAATATTTTCTCATATAATCTTTTATAATGGTTTCATTTCACCACCTTGTATTTTATATAGATATGCGGTAGCATGTTCACTCAGAGATAAACAGAGAGTAATATACACAACTCCGATTAAAGCGTTGAGTAATCAAAAATACAGAGAATTTTATGAGGAATTCAAGGACGTTGGTCTAGTAACAGGCGATGTTACAATAAATCCAACAGCTAGTGTATTAATTATGACCACTGAAATTTTACGTAACATGCTCTACAGGGGTTCAGAGGTTTGTTTTATCATTATGACTCTGGAAACAAAGTAAGCAATCGTTGAGCAATGCAAATAAAGAATATAATTATTAATATGGTAATGGTAAAACGCTTTGTAAGAAAAATATAAAGATGTATGATGTATATATAATTGTGCATTTACAAATTATATAGATAATGCGTGAAGTCGGCTGGGTGATATTCGACGAAATTCATTACATGCGCGATAAAGAGAGAGGCGTAGTGTGGGAAGAGACGCTTATATTGCTGCCGGACAATGTGCACTATGTGTTTCTTTCTGCTACTATACCAAATGCACGACAATTCGCGGAATGGGTGGCACATTTGCACAATCAACCCTGCCATGTGATATCTACAGACTACCGACCCACCCCATTGCAGCATTACATATTTCCAGTTGGTGGCGACGGTATTCATTTGGTAAGTGATAATTTATGAAAAATCATGTTCGTTTAAGGACTTGGCATGCAAAGAAAAATACACAGTATGCTTTAAATTATTATTTATTGTAAAACAGGTTGTAGACGAAAATGGCCAGTTTAAAGAGGAAAATTTTAACAGAGCCATGGCGTGTCTGCAGAATGCAGGCGATGCGGCTAAAGGTGACACAAAAGGTCGAAAAGGTGGTCTACGCGGCACGAATAGCGGGCAAACAAATATTTTTAAAATGGTAAAAATGATTATGGAGAGAAACTTCGCGCCTGTAATTATCTTCAGTTTTTCAAAAAAAGATTGCGAATCTTATGCGATGCAAATGGCTAAGCTGGATTTGAATACGTTAGAAGAGAAGAAATTGGTGGATGAGGTTTTCAATAACGCTGTGGACGTTCTGAACGACGAGGACAAAAAGTTACCGCAAGTTACAAATTTGCTGCCGCTTTTGCGACGTGGAATTGGCATTCATCACGGTGGACTCTTGCCGATTTTGAAGGAGACCGTTGAGATACTGTTCGGCGAAGGTCTTATCAAAGCACTTTTCGCCACTGAAACGTTCGCGATGGGCTTGAACATGCCGGCGCGGACGGTTCTGTTCACGGCACCCCGTAAATTCGACGGTAAAGATTTTCGTTGGATCACATCGGGTGAATACATCCAAATGTCCGGTCGCGCCGGCAGAAGAGGTCTTGACGACAAAGGGATCGTCATATTGATGATAGACGAGCAAGTTAGTCCAGTCGTTGGTAAAGCAATTGTTCAAGGAAAACCGGATCCGATCAATTCCGCGTTTCATCTGACGTACAACATGGTTCTTAATCTTCTCCGGGTGGAAGAAATTAATCCGGAATACATGTTGGAAAGGAGCTTTTTCCAGTTTCAAAATCAAGCTGGTATTCCCGCTTTGTACAACAGTAAGTCGCTATTGTTATTCAACGTTATTATTATACGTCCAAAAAAAAAAATTGAAAATCAACCGCCTGTATTACATTTTCAGAGGTAACGGAATTGTACGACACTTATAATACCGTGAATGTCGAGAGGTACGACGAGATATCTTCTTATCATGACATACGCGAACAACTTGATCAGTTGAGCGAACGGTTTCGGTCGTTTTTAACGCGACCGGAATATTTGCTTCCATTTTTGCAACCTGGAAGATTAGTGAAAGTGCGTATTTTTACAATTTAGTATGCGCGCATCTTTTTGGCAATTTTTGGTAATACATTTGTTACGCATATTGCAGGTGAAAAACGGGAACGAAACGTTTGATTGGGGCATCATAGTGAACTTTAGGAAGAAAACCCCGAAAAATCCAATGAAAGACAAAACTGTTGTAGTTATTGACATTTTACTGCACGTATCGAAAAGTTCTAAAGAAGGCAATCCAATTCCTTGTCGCGAAGATGAAGAAGGCGAAATGGAAGTGGTTCCCGTTTTGCATCATTTAATTTCTCAAATCAGCTCGCTTAGATTGTATTACCCAAAAGACCTCAGGCCGTCTGACAATAGAAAGAGCGTATTGAAAACGATACGGGAGGTAACGAAAAGATTTCCAGATGGCCTGCCGTTGCTTAATCCCATCACAGATATGAATATAGGAGATCAGGCCTTTAAAGATATCGTGAAAAAAATTGAAACGTTAGAAAAAAAATTGTACGCACATTCTTTGCACAAGGTAAGTGATATAATACGCGATAATGTAATAAAAAATAGTACATCTCTCTGAACAATGGGGTAGATTTACATCATTTTATGTTTATTAAGATACAGTTCTAACACTTTTTTTCTAAGTATTTCTGCAGGATCTTGTAGAAAAATTAGGAAACTTTACTGTGTTATTGCAATTGTTCAAACGTGTGTTTTCTTCTTGTCTATATAATTTAATTTGGCTTTGATATATAACTTACGATCGATCTGTTTACAGGATCCCAATGTAAATATATTGTATGAACAATTTTTACATAAAGAAGAATTAGCTGCACAACTAAAGCAAGCCAAGGAGGAATTTAAGCAGGCTAAGTCGATACTTCAAATGGACGAACTCAAATGCAGAAAGCGAGTTTTAAGGAGGATGGCGTATTGCACAGCGGCGGACGTTATAGAACTGAAAGGACGTGTAGCCTGCGAACTGAACGGTGCCGACGAGCTACTAATGACAGAAATGATCTTCAATGGTCTTTTTAACGCTTTAAACGTGCCACAGATGGTGGCGTTGATAAGCTGTTTTGTATGTGACGAAAAATCAAACGAAATGCCTAAAAGCACGGAAGAATTAAGCGGCCCGCTCCGACAGATGCAGGACTTGGCTCGAAGAATAGCAAAGGTTTCTACAGAAGCAAACTTGGAATTGGATGAGGATGCGTACGTCGATAGATTTAAACCATTTCTAATGGACGTTATATATGCTTGGTGTAAAGGCGCAACGTTCTTACAAATTTGCAAAATGACAGATATATTCGAAGGTAACGTATATTAGCGTATCTCGTTGCTGAGATATATTATTAAGCACAAATTTTTCATGATTCGGTGTATATATGTGCGTATGAAACACACATTGCAGGATCTATCATCAGGTGCATGCGGCGTTTAGAAGAGGTACTTCGACAGTTATGTCAAGCTGCGAAAGGTATCGGGAATACAGATCTAGAGAACAAATTCAGCGAAGCGATCAAACTTATAAAACGTGATATCGTGTTCGCTGCGTCCTTATATTTATGATGCGAAGAAGAACTAGGGTCACAGAGTAACACTTTGTTTTCATTTTCGTTCATATACGTTTCGATTTGTATATCATTATTAAATTATACAGTCCTATACGGATTTCCACTATACTGTCTGTTATTTACATAGTCCAACGTTCACACAAACAGAAAGCAGTTTATAAATTGCTCAGATTCAATTTATTCCTGGGAATTTAAAGTATATAATGTACGTACGCATGTGGAAAGAACATTTTTTTTCCTTCTTTTTTTTTTATAAAATAAAATTACATTTGTCATATACGACTCCGTCGTCCACGGAAAAATGTTCAGCGTAAAAATGTAATTGTAAGATAAACAAGATTCGATAATTGCATGCCATCTCGAAATTGTTAAATAAATACATTTTTGAAGAATATTTCGCGATACTTATTCTCTACATATAAATTTAATTACAATTACTTATCGTTCCTCTAAAATTACCGTTTCCTGCGGACAGAATTTCAGTTCCATCAAGGTGAGCTTGGAATCCATGGATGTTAACTAGAACAAGTACACAAATGCATTAGCATAACATTTTGTACGTGTACTTTTTAATAAACGTTCTCAAAAACGAAAATCTTTCCTGAAAGAGTGATGTTATCTTAATTTTTGTATAAAAAGTACGGTATGGAAAAAAAAATCAAATAAATGTCTATACAATAAGAACTTAAATGCTTACATTATCTACTTACATCCCTTCGAGGCCAACTAGACAGAAGCTTATATTCCTCTGTAGGATAACCCTCTACAACGAGGAAATTAAAGAGGGTCTGTAACGGCGTGTCCGATTGAAATTTACGTTCCAGGAATTTTCCAGCTGGAAGTCGCACTCTCACTTTCATCACGCCATCGCCCGCTCCCTGTTGCGGTTCCGGTGGTAAACTAGATTCTATGGCTTGTCTGTGAGCCTCTTTCCTCGCTTCCTCGGCTAACCTCTCATTTTCAGCTTGCTCTTTCTGTTTCTTCTCAAGCTCTTCCTGCATTTGTTTCGCTTCGTCCTTTGCTCTTAAAATATATTTTAAATGTCATGCTTATCGCTCAACGTCTAAATTGTCTATGTGCCCTTACAAATCCAGATATATATATTTCCTTATTTTATTTTAATATACTTTTTATTACCTATCAACTGCCAAACTTTCTTGATATGCTCTATCTTGTTCTTGCTTAACTCTTTCTCTAGCCTGTCGTTCTTCTTCAACGCTAATATCAGCTCGTCTCTGTTCCTGTTTTAACGAGAGTAAATATATGATGTAAAGTATGTTCATATTTGCAATTGTTAAAGTGCAATGAGATCAAAACTGTATACTTCATATACATGTAGCAATTAGCACGCTAATATTTCCCGACAATGTATAAAAGCTGTACTTCTTACTTGAAATACATCGACGGCTTGTACCAAGTTTGTCAGTAACTCGTTAACTCCCACATTGCCGTGTACGATAGTAAATATCTCGGTGTTCGATCTAGATCTCATAATAATCATGAGAACTGGCAAGGTATCAACATCTATGCTTGACACAGCCAATGAACCGACAGTACCAAGGGTTTGAGTTACCGAATATAAAAATCTAAACATGAAACAAAAATGTTTAACTGAAACAAGTTCTGCTAACTTTGTACATTATATCATTTGCATATAGTACCTTTCTTTGTTAGATTCGTACGTGATGTCCCAACCCCACACTATAAAATTGGCTGAAAGAAGTTGAAGCACCGTTTCAAAGCCTAACAGTTGAGTACAAAAGACATTTGCTAATACGCTGTTATCATGATGCAAATATACAGCCAATAATTTTCTCTGCAATGATAGAAAAAAAATACATATGCTTCTAGTGTCTTTAGACGTACTTTTGTAGTACTAAGATCCAAGTACAAACCTCTTTTGCTGGCTTCAAACATGATTCCTTCAGGGCATCTTCGAATGTACCAGCGAAAAATTCCGGATGTGCTGGCCCATATCGCTTTTCAAATTGCTCCGCAAAATGCAATGTACCCATCACCTCATCCACTACATTCTCTGGCACTGTTCACAAAGGAAAAAAATTCATGTCATTGTAAATTAGCATTAACGCGGATGTTACATCGCGCAATAAAACAAAACGACTATTTCATATTTTAATGTAAACTCACTCAGACGCTCCACTTTAGTAGATTTAACATCGTCTATGAAAATATCATCCTCAACGTTAAAAGGTTCAGGAACATCTTCAAATTCTTCCACATCCTCTGGTTCATCTACAGAACTATCGCTGTCGATTAAATCTATAACGTTCTGAAATAACACAAATATTAATGAATTTATTACGGTTGAAAACTTGTGAAAAATTTATTTTTGTTGAGACATACCTTTTTTTCTTCTTTTGCAGGTAGCTTTCCGACGGACAAATCATGCTCGGGATAACAAATTCCGCTTTGTGCCAACATTATGTTATCATCCTTTATCGAACTAGGCCAACCGTTCCATTGCTGATTTCGTACAGGCACATCTATTAACGAGTAAACATCTGTCTTCACTTCCAACACAGTACGCGTGCCAGGAAACTTCAGCTTGTACGTTACATTATGCACTTCATCCTTTACATTCAGTGTATACGTCTGTGTCATACAATTTGACAGACTTACGCTTGAATGGAGAAACACATATTTATTATTACGACAATCACAAAATTGTACCGGCAAAATTTTGCAACTTACGTGTCTTGGGTTAAGTCACCATCTTGGGATAGTAATGACAGATACAATGTATTTTCTCTAGGCAAATCTAACGTTTGTAATACCGTATTCGCTGTTTGGGGTTCTTTTTTCCAGCCACGTAGATGCTGTTGACAAGGTGCTATATTTGTTTTATGCCATATAAATTGTTTGAGATCCCCTGAAAAATAGATTTTCATATTTATAACTTGACTCCTCTAGACTGAGTTTTACCACAAGCTAACCTAACTATAAATGTAATAATCAATAATTTCTACTTACTCAAGGTAGATAATTCAGACAAATTTATTTTATAAACATTATCAAGATAGTTAAGGTGGAATGTAAGTATTCTATTTCTCATGCAACTTTTAGGTCTACTTGTTCCAGGTTTTGCACTTTCTATTATATCTGCTTTTGTTGTTGTTCCTATCTTTTTTGAGTTTTGAGCTATTTGTAGCTTTGATGATGATGACGAACGCGGAGTTGCTTTAATTTCCTCTACCATTTCTATATCTGGAGCCATCTCAGAGGGCAACTGTTGCGTACCCCGTGGCATAGCTTTATTTATGGCAGCCTGAGTAAAAAATACGTAGAATATTTTTATACATAGAAATAATCGTAGAAACCATGACCATTATTCGTATTTACCAGTAAATCCCAGTTTGTTTCTTCCAGATATATGATAGCTTCTTCAAAGTCATCGATTCCAGTACAAGCCTGTAAAATGTTTATAAAATTATTACAGAGTTATAATTACAGAATTTGCATTAGAGAATTTTCTGATTTGAAACAAGATATACATATGAAGAAAAATTAAAAAACAGTTATTATGGCATATTTATGCAAAGATAATAAAAATAAAGATATGTCATTGATAATCCTTTTAATCCAAGAACTTTTTACACTTTAAAACAGACAAAGACATGTAGAATGACGTGATGAATTTGAAGAACGTTTTCGCGGATTTTGCCAAATGTCAACACGATCCAACGGATGTATAGTTTATATTCGATCGTTAGATCATTTTAATTGATCTCAAATATATCCGACAGCTCGGTAAAAAACGAATGTAGCCAAAAACTCGCTTCAAACGTCTTTAGTTATTGTCAATGTCATTTACACATCCATAATCCATAACCTAACAAGTATTTGCGTTATGCGAGTGAGTTGCACGAAAAATTGATTGGCTTACCTGAAAGTCAGCCAGTATCGCGTCTCGATTTTCAGCCATCGTAATGAAATTCCAAAGCGAAGATTACAAGATAATCTCTCGTGTGAATTGCGACACTCACGTTCTATTATCTTAAAACTATTACAAATAACATGCACAACAACCGCGAGCCATTGACGTCTTGAGGATGTATGGGTTGTACAATATTAGTCAAAAGTCGAGGTTGAAAAACAATGTATTTCTCAAGCTCATACAGACTGAAACAATAAATAAATAGATTTGCATTATGCAGAAAATGCTATTGCAAATACTATTGCGAAGCAATAGGATTTTCAATATTTTTATTAAGGCAAATATTTATAATTAATGTTTTACGGCAGAAAATTTTTGAATGTGAACATACCCTGAATTCAACTGTAAGAAACAAAATAACAAAGAAATCAGAAACTTGTCGATTATTATAGACATTTAATATTTTGTAAAATTACATAAAATATAAAAATAATTAATTATTCATAATAAATGAATAATTTTGAATCAAAATATGGAATCATATCGGCGATCTAGTAATTCCTGCAAAGTGCTGATTCGCAGCGTCATCGCATCCACTTATTTTAGAACTACATAGCTACATCAATTTCTCAAGATTGCTGGTAAAACACTATTTGGTTCTTGTCCATGCTATATTCGTGCAAATTCATATTTACATGACTTTACGCCAAAGGACAAAATTCATATATATAATTTAATAAAATGCTTTAAATGATGCAAGATTTATTATTTTAAATAGAAAAAGTTGTTAATTTTTTTCTTTTTATATATTTTTGTTGTAGTCATTGTAATAAGTATACGTATGCACACAAAATTTATAACAATAAAAATATTTCTTTCTGATAACGTATTGTTGTAAGAACAAAAATTGATGATGTAATTGTTTTTTTTATCTTATATTGTAGTTTATATAAAATATAAAAAAGATTTGTGACTGAAAATATAAGAAGAGTAATTTCTTGTTGTAACATTTATTGGAATAACATTGGAACAAATTAAAACAAGATAAATATAGATTGCCTGTTTCAGAAATAATATATATTATTATATAAGTAATATTAAATATAAATATATGTTAATATTATTAATCCAAATTACACTCTCAGGGAAATCAATGCTTTATATGGTTTGGGACAGGGCGTTGCACCAAATATGAAATCTTGTGTAGATGGTTGCGGTTCACCAGGAACTACAGAAAAGCTGAAGTTTTGCAGCAGAGTAGCTATTATGATGAAGATGTTGCTCCTAGCTAACATCTCCCCTATGCAATGACGCTTTCCTGTAAGTCGTAAATTATTTTGTTCAATAAGCATATAAAGTACAAAAGAGTACAAAAAGAATACTAAAAGAAGGAAGCATACCAAGGCCAAAAGGAAAATAATTGTCTGGCGTAACAATATTGCCGTCTTTATCGAAGAATCTCTCTGGTCGAAAATTTTTAAAATCATCACAGTACGCTTTATCGTCGTACACTCCGTTAAAGTTTACCATAAGCATCGTATTCTAAAATAATAATTATTTGTCCATTTTTGTTAACTTAAATTCTTATAATTTTGTTCGTAAAATGTCAAACTTCTTCCAGTGTTACCTTTGGTACTTTATAGCCCAAAATAGTAGTGTCTTTCAATGTTCTATGTGGAAGACTAAAACTGTAAGCTATGAATAACCTTAAACACTCCAAGACAACAACTTGGAGGTACATCAGTCTAAAAAGTAGAGATATAATTGATATTTTATGCAAAATATAATCTTTGTTCTTATGCGAAAATTCCTCCGCTTTCAAAGTTTATAATTACAAACATAAATGATTAACAATATTTACTTTGGTTTGTCGGCCATTGTAGGAAGTCTATCACGACCGATAACACGATCTAGTTCTTCTTGCACCTTTTTTTGAACCCGTGGAAACAATATCAGATAGAGAAATGCATAGGTGAGTGAGTTCGCAGTTGTTTCGGTACCTGCCATGAAGAGATCTACGCAGACAGCTACCAGCTGGGATTCTGAAATTTATTTTATCACTGTAGTAACAATGTTATTATTAATATAAATTATATATGCTTCTCAATACCGTTGAATGAGTCACTGCGATTCTCCGAACTCAATGCAGTTAGATAGACATCCATCAAGCCTCTTGGCGCATTTGGATCTAATGTCTTTTTATAATATTGCATTTGTTCCTAAAAAAGATCATATTATTCTTTCATCATTATCTTCGAGCATTAAAAGATATCTATTCGTGAAATAATCTAATAATATATTATTAATAATACTATACAATAGAATCCACTCACTTCTACAAAATCCCATAATTCTTTATGTCCTTCGGCAAATGATTTGTAACCGGACGTTTCTGGTATAATAAAGCGTAATAATGGGAAATAACTGAAAAGGGAACCAAGCATGTCCATTTCTGTTAAGGTCTTTGTGAGGATTCGCTGTACACGCTCGAGCTTTTTATCGCCAATCTCAAATCTGAAAAAATATTAGAAATCATCGATATAAAGAATTAATCTTTTACACGTGCCTTTAGGTTTTATAGAAATTTTACAAAATAGCAAGAATGATATTTGAGTAATTGATACCAACCGTTTGCCGACTATCATTCTCCAGATTGAGTTCAGAACGTTCAGATCGAAAATGTGGACCATTTCAATAATCATTTCCCTTGATTCGGAAACTCTCTGGACTTCCTCAGCCTTAATAGCCGTTCGAAGTTCATGTTTGAGAGTCTCATCTTCGACTGCGCTGAACTTGTCGTGCAGTTCCAACTTGTTTAAGTTGTCTTTCTGTAATTTATATGCCTGATTATTATTATTATTAACGTTATTGTTCTCTTTACAACTACACTCTTTACGGCGTAACAACCGACGTTGCTTGTCTTCGGAGATTTTCCGATGTCCTGTAGCAACTTCTTTAAATGTTCTAACAGTTCCCGAGCCTCATCTTCGACAAGCGCGGCCATACCGGTGCGACTGAAGCCGAATTCCCGCAAGTGGCGCGTAACGAATCGTCGTTGCTCAGCCCACGGCTGCTTATCCGTCATAATGATTCCTAATCGTGAAAAAGACATTTGATTATTTTTAAAAAGTCAAAAAACACTTCCACATTTTATTTTATTTTTTTTCCAGGTAGATAATTACCTCGCCTGACACCAGAAGTTCTGAGTTTTTGTAAAATTCCTGCCGGTCTGCCGTCGCAATCCTCGTTAACTAATATCGCCTGCATGCTCTGTAGATCGTTCGCAACGATGACGCGAGTCTTACCAATTTTCAAACCCACAATAGGACCGTACCTATCGCGGAGATTCAAGCAGATTTTGTACATATATTTGACTTCTCGGCGAATGCGCGTCATTTCCAGCGCACAACCTAAAATAGGCCACCATCTCGGACCTGATAATGATGAAGAATGTTCAGCCATAATTAAAAAATATATGTACAAGAAAAATAATGCAGTGTAAACTATATTAGCAATGTTGATTGACGATAAATTTAATCAATAATTTTTTACAGTGTATCTGAGAATCTTCCTACCAGGTGGGAATCCTTTTGGTTTCCGGCAGTCCAGATATGGCAACAATAGTATGAACACCAGCAATAATATTGCAGTGACAACCATCGCGTTGCAATTTTAATCTACAACGCAAATATTAATAAAATATTCCGATAATTGAGATTAAATAAATAAAATAATATAGGAAAGAGAATAGCAAAGGTTGAACATTTGTGAACTAATCTCTGTAAATTTGTGAAATATCAGAGAATATATTTCTATACTGAATATGTTTTACCACACCTGCTTTTGCTACTTAAATTTTAATATCCGTGTTTATTTGCAGAATTTCAAAAATATTCACATAACGTAAAAAGTATAAAACAATCGAGTTTCTAAAAAAAGTAAAATATATATAAAATGTGAAATACTCTCGTAAGAAAAAGTTGTATACAAAAAGCATTATTCGCATTGTCACCTACATTGTTCCATAAATCGTTATATAATCGAATGGTAAAAATACAAAATTCTTGCTATCAATTGCTTTTAAATATGCATTGATTATATAACAAATTATGTATGAACAATGTAATTATAAATACACGCATAAAACAATGATACATTATGCATTATGTATATACATTGATCCATTATGCATTTAGAAATGTAAATTTAAAACTTTTTTGAAATTAACAACAGGAATTGAAATATAAAAAAGTATGCTTATATATACCTTTCTGACGCTTAATAACGCAATTATATTTCTCCTTCTTTATGTTTAAAAATGTTGGCAAGCGCAGCTGCATCATTTAGCATTCATTATTCAGAATGAATAATTAAGTCTTACAATTATGTAGGAAATAGGAACTACACTAAACTAAGGTAACTAAGCCCAAAGTCGTCAGACATTCAATAAGCAATTATAAAAATTTAACTTTTTTATTAAAATATTTTTATCTTTTTTTAAAAAGTATGCACACATATCAGTATCTAAACATAACGTAGAATACATGTAAAAGATACTTTTTAAATGAGAAATTTAGAAATTTGTTTTCCATCCAAACCTTTTTACTAAAGTTTTTTTATGTTATCTTTGAATTTTATATTTACAGCAAATATTTAAAACTTTTTTGAAATTAACAACAGAAAATATCAAAAAGTGTACTTATATACAAAATATTAGCAATGTTGATAGATTAACAGCAAAGTTGATCAAATAACATTTATAAACCCAAATAGCCAAATTTATTTTGAGTATTAAACTATTAAGATTTATAAAAATTAAGTAATAACTATTTTGTTAATATGTAATCGGACATTGGAATTTTTACCTCATGCAATCATCCTATAAAAACTATCCTTAAATACTACAAAAGTGTTGAATAGCGAAATAAAAAAATATTTTTTGACAAAGTAGGAAAAGTGCAGTTCTTTAGATTCTTTGTCAAAAGCGATTGTATTTGGCACTCAAACTGTTAATAAATATATAAAATTATTATAATTTATTATAATTATTATATATAAAAATATATAAAATAAATAATAAAATATAAAATTTAGAACAACGTGAAACATGTACTAAATGTTTCTAAATCGATAGAATTTGACTATTGCTTGAGTTACGACTACAATTTGATAAGAAAACTTGATATCTTATTCTTATGATCCTCAGAATGCTATAAATTTGATTGATTAAACTCCACTAAATAAAAAAATATTTCGAGTAACAGACAAATAAAGGAAACTATGTTATATGATAATCCCTTCATTGGGTGATGCAAAAGAAAGATATCGGGAATCCCAGTAACACATGATCGTTTCATATATATTTCCTAAACATATCCAATGTATTCATGCACATTTAGGAAACGTATATGAAACGAACATGTGTTACCTGGGAAAAGTCGGTAACAAAATACTTCTTCAAATTATTAAACTAATCCTACCTTAAACTTGGAGAAATTTTCTCATCCGTTGTTTAAGCAAGACTGATCATGGACCAGCGCTCGATTGGCTTTTAAATACCCCTCTTCGTACTCCTTTGTTTTCCGCAAGTTCAATATGCGAAAATTAACATATCCTGGCGCAGAATCATTATGAATGCCCGATCGAAAAAGTCCGACGGGAAAACAAAAAGTTTTGGAGAAATTCTGGCACATGACGAAATCTAGATAGTATAAAATTTAACACAATAAAAAAAAAATTATTTTTAGTTTAAAACAATTGAAGCTTTGACATAAAGAAAAGATTGATCATACCATATATTAGAATTACTCTTTCCTTATAAATGTAGAATATTTTCCACTTAAATAATCAAGATGTTTATTCTTGATATTTACTGATTATATTATACATTTATGTAATTTTTTAGAATACTAGACATACACACGCGCCTTTTTTCTGTTCTTTCCTTTTGTATCCGTTTAATTGTATTTGTTTAAACACTTTAAACTTGTCAAATAGCTATTAAAATAAAGCTGTCAAAATACAAACTGTCAAACGCAATCATCTTTATAACAATGATTGATGATAAACAAACTCATCGATACAAACTTCGCGATAGACAAACCGATCGATAACGCGATGACAACGAAAAGAGGTTTCAAAAGTTAATAATATGCCTTTTTTAAGGCAAAAGATTTTTTAGAATATAAACAACCTTGTAACGCAAAGGTAGTTTGATTAAATGTATTTAAACGCATGATGTCGCTAATGTCGCGTTAAGCATAGCGCATAAAAGATAATGCATTTTGTCCAGTAAAAAAAAAAAATACAATAACCAATCAACTACTTGTTTTTCTAGTATTAATAAATGCATACTAAAAAATATTTGATACTGCATAGTGTTTTCCATCTTACGTTCTCACGCCCTGTGCATGAGCTTCAAGTTTATATATGATATAAAATGTTTATTTGACATTACATCTCGTAAATTAGTTTAACGCAATTTGTAATTTCTGATTACATCAGAAATAACGCCAACACCGACTATTAAGCGTTAGGCAATACATTTTCTAATATAATGGGCGCAATAATGTAAGTACTTTTTTTGGTTATGTACTCTTCCTACAATTTAGTATAAAATTTGTTTTAATATTTATACTACAGATTTTATATTTATTATTTTACATATAAATTTCCTATTTTTCCGTTTTTTCAAAATAATTAACATATAGATTAATGTTACAGAAGTCATATTTATTGAGTTAGAAAAAATGACTGTTATTGGAATATCAATGGACACTTCAGAAAATGCAAAAGAAAAGAGACTGAAAAAGAAGAAAAATTTTGTTTTGAGATCAGTGAAAGACTCTTTTAATATGACAAATTAATAATTTACGAAAGTTTTTCATTTATTGATTGTATGACGCAAGAGGAACAAACATTAACTTAATATGTTAGATCAATATAATCGAATTGAATTACTATGAACAATTACTTTTTTACATGTACAACCATAAAGAATGAACGAATAAATTAATTGTACAACAATTAGTACAACAATACAAGAATAATTAATAAATTGAAAGAAACAACGCCTACAAAGACAGATAAATATGCTTTCAAAGCTCTGGTTCTTATTACTACTTGCTTGCATAACATGTCTTCTATTATACATGACATTTGTGGAGAGATCAGGGCTACAGGCTTTAAAAATGAATTTGATGCATCTGCAAACAGTGTACAAAACAACTGGCCAATCATTGGATAATGTTAAAATTCTAATCAAACCATCCTGCAATGCTACTTTCTTAATATGGATCATCACATCTTACGCAGGTGATCCTTCAGCTAGAAGTGCTCTACGACGAGCATATACAAATGAGGAATTACAGGCTTTAGAGATCAGGAGGATATTTCTCCTTGGTACATTAAATAATGATGCTGAAAGGAAAACACATATATCACAGAATGCATTGTTAGATGAGTCGCAGCGATTCAATGATATACTTCAGGGAGACTTTCTAGACACTTACAGAAATTTGACTCGCAAGCATCTGATGGGACTTCGATGGACACTAAATAATTGTAAACACGTGAAATATATCATGAAGATGGATGATGACATCGTTGTAAATATATATGGCATAATGGAGAATTTACGCTCTGGTATTGTAGAAAAAGATTCTTTGACTGGTTATGTTCTCAAAAATATGGTCCCTGTTCGAGAACCGGCTAATAAATGGTATGTAAGCAAGATGGAATATACGGGTGATACTTACCCTGATTTTGTTTCTGGCTGGCTATACATCATGCATCCGCAAGTGGCGAATAGACTGATCAATTATGTTGAGTCTTCCAATGAATTCTTTTGGATAGATGATGTGTTTGTGACTGGGATCTTGAGGCATGCTTTAAATATAAAGATCAAAGACATTAGTGAATTATATACAACAGATTACAGATATTTGGAATGTTGTATAAAGGGAAGAGCGAGTCTGCTCAAATGTGAATTTCTAGTTGGTCCAAACGGCGGTAATACAGAGTTGCAAGTGAGATTTAAAGAATTCGCGAAATTCTGCCATACGAATTGCTCCGCCCGCACCGACAGTAATCTCGTTGGCAAAAGATGCGTAGTGGTGTACAAAGAACCAAATCTGCACAAAGGATCCGTTCAGATAAGTCCTGTTGTTTTATGAAAAGTGATAGATCTATATTTATCTAGTGATACACACACACACACACACACACGCGCGCGTGTGTGTGTTACGATTTTAGTATAATTTTGTTAAAGAGAATATTTTCTGTTTATTCATTATTGAATACAAAATTTGTACAATATTTTACAATATCTTACTATATAAAATTATACTTATTTTATAAAGAATCACGATTGTCCATTTATCCTATACCTTCATATATCAATAATTCTTACTTTGATACTTGCCATATCACAGATTTATTTGTGATATATTGAACATTTATATGAAAGTTTCTACAGCCCGCAATATTAATCATATACAGCTGGCACACAGCTCCTGGTCGGGTAATAAAATAATTGTCCTTTAGTTATCAAAAAATTAAAGATATTTATTTGTCACTTTACCAATTATTCGTGACCAAAAGAATTCAAGGCAGAAAAAAATAAAAAATTTTATTTCTTTTTTTTACATTTTTGTTTTTTAAACACTTTAAAAATTAAAAATAAAGTACATTCAATGAATTTGATTTCTCTTTTCAAGCATCAAGATATCATATTGTCAATAAAACGTGAATATATGATATTTTTTTCTATTTAAAAAAATATCTTTTAAAACGTTTTTGAATTAGAAATACAAACCTAAATAACTGATAAACTATTCAATAACTCAACTATAAAAGATTTAATTTTATTATGACCATCTCAGAAAAATGGTACATAAGAAATTATTAAAGTAGAGATTTTTTTTTCGGTAACTGGAAGGTGGCACCTATGCTCAAATGATCACTTCCTACTACAAAATTTGGTAATCTTCGTAACGTTTTGCATTGGCTTACTGTAAGCAAAGTGTATTTTTCTATAGGTTGGATATTGCTATAGAATATATAATCCACCGTAACCCATTCTTCTTGGTGTGTCGTCGCTTCCTCACCGTGAGCACTCGTATGAGTATAAACGCTACGCATGTTAAAAGGATGCGTTAGAGTGCCGGATGCAAATTTCGCAGAATGACCTTGTATAATCTCGATGGTCTGCGCACGATCAGTGTCAGCATTGACGTTGTTCTGTTGCAACACTTTTGTATTACAAGATGTGGACATCTTTTCGTCTTTCTGAGGGGGGAATTCACTGTTTTCCAACTGAAACAAGTTAAAAAGTAACTTATAATTTACAAAATATGCTATTAAGAATAAACGCAAAAAGAAAGTAAATAGACTGAAAAGAGAATAAAATATACATAAAATTTTGTTGAAAATTGTAAACTTTCAAATTTTTATAATTGCAATTAGTAAGAACGTACCATGACTTTGCCAGTGCCTTCTCTTTGCAGCCTCTGAGTTAAAATATTAAAGTGCTGACAATTATCGGTGACGCATAATCTCGATGGTATTAGAGAGTTGGATAGTGAACGATATGAGGACGGCTCTAAATTTCGTCCTTTGCCATGATATTCGAAGGAACCCTCCGTTAGGAACTTATAAACACCTGAAAATGGCTTCAAGTTGAAGTCGCCTGTCAGTATAATTGGTAAGTACTTTGCTTTGTCCATTCTAAAAAATTATTTGTAAACACACTTGACATAATTGCATAAAGAGTATCAGTTTCAATGAGCAAGTTTCATCAAAAACGCACTTACGTCAAGTTTTCGACAAATGCAATCCGCTCTATTTCCGCTAGTAAAAGCTGTATCTGCGCTAATCGCACATCGTTACGTTTTGGATTATACAACAAGTGAGTAGTAGCGACTACAAATTGCGTTTCCGGACTATCTTTAAGAGAAAATTTCGCGATTATTCCAACATTGTCTCTGCTTAATAACTCAATACCAGATTGATATAACTCCACTTTCGCGTAATCCACCAAAGTGAACTGATCAGAACGGTATAGCAAGAGCAAACCATCTTTCTTATCATTGGTTCTCTTTTTGTACAGATAATCGTATCCAAGTTGCTTAAATGGAATTATAAAGTCTAGCAAATGATCCTCCTGCATTTCCTGAAGGCATATTACCTAAAATATATAATAATAATGTCGTTATAATTCTTTACATACGTTTGAAATCTCAAGCTTAAGAGAATTAAATACAGAAGAATAAAATACCACATACGTTTGCTTCTGCCTCAATTATCTCCTGTATCACAAGAGGTTTCCGAATTTTCCACATTAAAGTTTTCTTGTTGTGATTCATGTATAGATATGAGTGATCCTCCAATAGATTTTGTGCCAGGATATTAAAAGATAAAACTCTCATTAAAAATAAATCTTCTGCATTACTGATTGATCTTTCTAAAAATGTTCAAAAAATATATATTATGTTCTTTAAGTAATTATACAAACAATTATATAAAATATTACAATTTATTTGAGAGAAATAATTCTTACCTTTCCCGAGTCGTTTCCACTTTCTTATAGCCTTGTATCTTGGTTTATCAATGTAATTTCCAATTGGTTTTGGATCTGCTACATTAGTTTTAACACTTTTATCTGTGAACGTTCCAGACTGATGATACAGCATATTATAATTACTTGCACTATTGAACGATATATCACATATTGCAGTAGCATTATTTTGGTTGTAACATGTATCATGATAAGGATCCATCTTGGGTTTTGTACACTTTTGATGAGAGGAAGAATTGTCCATAGAGGTAGCTGGTTCAAGATAGTTGGAATTTAAAACTTTCAGAAGAGAACTGCCACGTAGATTTTCCAAGAGCAACTGCTGCCAAGTCAGCTCCAGCGTATAAAATATCTGAAAAGATATCAATAATATAATATTATTGATAAGTCTAGTCACAAAGGCACTAAAATGTACTCAAAACATGTGTAACATACTCGAAAAAAATATGACGCACGAAAACAATCGAATGTAACAAAACTAAATCGCACTTTTTTAAATGTAAACTCGTGTTACCGTTTACGATTGAAAATAATCGATGTTATTAAATTTAATTGGATTTTTTTCGAAAAGATCTTTCTAACACTGAGTTAACCTATAAAGCATTACACACTGTTATGCAAATGCGATGTAAAGCGAGTCGTCATTTGCAGAAGCTTCGAAGTCGAAAAAATTGACGGTGATACGAAGACGAGCGCGCGAGAAATGCTTTATACCTTCCGCGATTGAAGAAATATAGCCGCCCGCGTGTTACATGCTACATTCAGTAGAGGGGCGGTGGTTGTCAGCAGCAACTTCGAAGATGCGTTCATTTATCATGCGTCAATTTCACGCAATCGATACACGTTTTCACAATTTTGTCATAATCTATGCGTTTTTACCCCAAGGATCTAAAACGTAGTTATTACGAACGTTCCTTGATATATACCGCATATCCATCCGAGGGAGGAATCCAACGAGGAATGTCTCACCAGGAAATGTCTAACCTCGATCGTCCTTGGACGAGTAATAAATTCGCGCTCTTCGTCGCAGATAGTTTTATGATCGATGGAATTCGATTGGAATCACCATTGAAATCACCGTTGACCCTGATCAACTTTAGGTTTTCTGTCTGTATAATAAAGACTGTATAATGTAGTTTAAAGAGGAATTAGCCGATGTCCGTATTCATATTCCGCAATTAGCGCCAAAAGCGTACTCATATGATTCTAAACACGGTGCAACGTCGTGTGCGATTTTTATGTGCAGCATTTGATGATACATATAGTCCACAAATACAGGATGAATGTACATATAAGTTGGCGAATTTTAAACGTAGCTTAAAGAGCTGGCGCAAATATGAATTTAATACTCATCAGTTTTAAAATACAAATTATAAGGATGCAGAAACAAAGTTGAAATCATGTGAAAATAAATACGTTAAAAAACAAATGGATAAGAATGTTTTAAATAAAATACAGATAAAATAAATTTTGAAAAAGTTATGTTAATTGTGTTTTGTAAGCAGCGAACACAACTCAATTGTGCTCAATTAAATATTATCATAGAAAGGATATATAAATTAGAAAATAAAGCAGCATTAGTAATTAAAAATTTAGAAAATTCTATATCTACTCTTAAACATGTCTCGTAGTAATTTTTATATTTTACGACGGAGTGACATATAAATTTCTCGTTCTGGTAATTAGCGTCTCGAATGTCTGACAAGTTTAAGCATTTCTTACAATGAAAATATTCTTCGTTTATAACGTTTGGGGAAAAACTCGACAGTAAAAAAAAATGACTTAATCACTTCTGTTACCAAGCCGCAGATATATTTCTTGTTTTGCAACTACATTCTTTTGCATTTCATGGATTTTTTGTACATTTCGTGGAACCGGTTTTTAAACGTCAATGGAAGAAAAAATTTCAGGAAAGCGTAAAAAGTGTAAAAACACATTTTATCATATTTCAGATGCAAGGAGTAAATAGTCGAGCCTTACAAACAACGTACAATAAAAACGAAAAATTACAGAAAAAAATGTAAGAAAGAATAAGAAGCACAAAGGTAAAGAGAACAGATTACACTAACAATAAAATACAATATCACGTTTTACGTGTCAGCAAAACGAACAAAAAATGCTTACTTCGCTGCACGAGTTTCTTGTATCTTCTGTTACGAGTATTCGACGATAAATGACGCGATTTCCTCTTTTTATCTGTACATTGCCAAGAAATAGAAGGTGAATTCATTCTATGAATAAAGCATTTCTATATGTTTATCGCGTACTGGGCATAGGTGAGAGCGTAGTTCATGTTACGTATGGTATTTTGAACAGTGATGATTTATTGATGTTTACAATACTGAACAATGGTGCACGTGCTTGATGTTCATAACTGATAACTGGGCCCCCACTTCAATCTGCCTTTCTTTCTCTCACTCTTTATTCGCATTCTCGTATGTCTCTTGCGAACGATCAACGATAATCCTAGCAGTAGACGTATCACCGATGAGAAACTTACAATGGTTATTTTAATATGGATATTTATCGTTTAGGGGTTTAGAGATGTAAATTTGCTCTCAAATACATGCATTGTTATTGCAGTGACATCAGGTGAGATCGTCGTGTAAGATCGTCCTTCGTCACATTTTGCAACGCATAGCATTTGCAGGAATTTAAACTTATGTAATTTTAATGAGTTAAATATTTAATGTTGTAAATATAAAAAGAATGGGCATACCTTATATCATTTTTGCATTTCTATTTGTATGAATAAGTATAGAAACCAAGTTCAGTTGTTTATAGCTCGAAATTTCAATTAAGATCTTGGAAAAATACTCAATAAGTTAATAATCAAAAGAATATATACATATATTATTCGGCAAACATATAATTTAATTTTTTGCACTTTTAAAATACATCAAAAAAGAATTAACATAACATAAAAATTTAACGAGTAGTCCTAGCGTGAACCAGTTTTTTGTATTTTTAAACTTTGAATATAATTATCATTAATTAATGTCGATTATGGCTATGGTTGATAAAAAGTACTAAGTTTGAAATTAATTGGTATTCAAATGTGTTTAAAATTAAATAATTATAAACAGTAATTAACAGTAAATAATAAAATAAAAAAGATAGATAGTGTAAAAAGGAAATATTTTAAGGCAGAAGTAATTTACATAGCGTAATTTGTGTTCGCTTTATTTAAAAATAGCATTTTAAAGGCACTATATACACACATTACATACACTCATAAATCTCCAATTTTATGTAAAATGTCGTACTATTTAACAATATTTGTTACATGTATGATTCGTTACATCGTTGCACACATTATAATACGAAGATTGTAAACGCGATAGTTCAAAATGATAAGGAATTCTATAAAATGTCACAACACAATGATACATACAAAAATCAAACGTTATTTACATCAATATATTTTAACAGTAGGCATTGAGAGTAAATCTATTTGTACTAAGTTTGCGATAACTGTGGACAATTGTGGTTCTTGTGCATCGATCTCGAGATATGTTAAAGATGCAATTTCAATTCTTCTATAATTTTTAATCAACGATTTTGAAATCAATACTACCGTATTAGAATACATTCATGTAGTTTCACAATTTCCTATAATTATCACACTTTGATGAATTTTGTATAATATTGGATGGCGCGAATTAACTTTGTCATTGATTCACATACCAAATACATTAATAGTATTTTCTAAAAATAGATTAAAAACAAATGTAATAGATAAATTGTTTAATATATCCGAATAAAACAGTTAAAAAGATTTTGATAAAATATCACAAATTTATGGCGATATGTCTTTGTAAGATAACACGGTATTTTAGATAAAAATATACTATATAATTGTACCTAAAAAATATACATTAAATACTGTTTTCTTTTATATCGTAGGATACTAAAGTTGTACAATTATAATATTAGGCAATTGTGCGGTTAAACGATGCGGAAATCGATTATTTTCAAGTTTCAAGTATTCATATAAAAGTTTTTATTAAAAAATTTAAATTTTATCTGTTTTCTCTTCTTGATTGTAAATTCCTTCATCTTTTCAACGTCTAATTGTAGAATAAAATTTATATGATAAATAGTAAAATTCATATGATAATAGTACTATAATAAAACATAATGTCAAAGTCCATTTTGAAGAACATTGAATGCGGCCCCTAGTGCCCAACTTAATTCGTGGCCATTAATCTTCTTATAAAGCTGAAAGAATTAAAGAATTTACGTTATGTTACATTATAATTTTATTTTATTCCAACGTATTTTTATATGATCAAAATAACATCATATGAAATCTACTTACATGCAATGTTGTTGAAGGTTCTAAACCAAATCCATCTTTAAGTAGAACATAAATAAATGTCAAATCTAAGCACATAAATGGTTGATCTGCATTCGGATCATCACAAGTATCCATTGCTTGTTTCAAAAATGCACTCATTTGTACGATACCACCCAAAAATGGATCTATTAATGCTACCTGCAAAATTAACAATAAAAATATTACATTTTTCATAATTATATCATTACAGAAATAATAATCTGTAGAAGTTGATATTTTATTTGATGACTTAAAACTGCAATTAAATAAATTTAATTATATATATATATATATATTTTTTTTTTAAATTAATAACAGATTAAATATTTTATTACAATTACATATACTCAAAATATTCATAAACAATTAATTTTAATATTTTTTATTAAAGCTTACCTCCGTTGCGCGTTCAAAATAATATGAAAATGCATATACTTCATGATTCTTTAAGCCTATCGGTTTGTCAACGAGAGTGCCAACATATTTCTCGATGATCTTTGAACATTCTGAAAAGCGTACAATAGGCTTGTTTTCATCCCCACCAGCAAAATTTTGAGTCTTCACCAGCTTGTATGTGCCATTAATCGGGCCTTTTACAATGTAATCACGTCCACCATAAGACCATTCAGTGGATATGATTGGATTGATACATTCGGAATGTATTTCTATGGGAAGTTTGGGATCCACATCTTCAAGATTCATATCGTGAGTTAAAATTGCTTTTCTGGCAGCCATTAAACCCATGCCTAAGTAACTGTGCGTGTACAGACTCATATTATGGTTAAATACATTGATGGAATAAACGTGTTTCTCCAATTTTTTGGCTTGAACACTGTCTGGCTGAAACGTGACCTGTGTTGAACCTCCACCAAGGTCTAACGCAGCCACGGTGGTTTGAGAACTAAGTGAATTAAGACGGTCCAATAAGAAATTGACAGTGAACCAAGAGAAGATTCCTTCATCCGTGCCTTCCATTATAGAGATAGAATTCTTTGCAATCTGGAATCCAGACATTTGGAACAACTTTCTGCATTCTTCTAGTATATTGTTGGCTTTATGTTCAGGCAATAATCTCAATCCTGCTGTGGCTTTCATAGTAAGCAAGGTACGAGACCATTCTGATTCCGGAATCACTGTTTTTGCTATGTTCAGAAGTGTGGTCAGAGATTTTGCAGCATCTTTTGGATTGTCCGCAAATGTGCTCAATCCAGGTTTGACTTCATTGTACAACTCACTATCTAATATTAAATTGCCATTGAGAATGGATTCATGAAAAGTAAATGCCAATACACGGCTGCCAGTAGATCCAGCGTCAATGACGACGACATAAGATGGCTTTTGCAAATTAAAGGAAAACGCTAGTGTGTCAATGGCTTTGCTACCTATTCTGATTGGTTTCAAGTCATTTGCTATAGCTACATAACCTAAGAACAATGAACCAAGTACTAGCAGAATAGTAAAGTACTTTCTTCCTGGCTGGTTAGTGGGTTTCGCTTGGCGCGACGCATATTCATTTTCATTCTCCTCTTCATTTTCAGTTCTAAGCTGCAAAATATAAAAATAATATTAATATCTAGATTGACAAGCAATATTTGCATAACAAATATAGAGCATTATAATATTGCATAAACAATATTTTTAAGATAATAAATACAAAATAATGGAATTGTTTTCATGATGCTGCAATGATAAAAAAACAGTTGTGCAAATCAATTTTTATAAAAAATCAAGGCAATTCCAAATAAGTGGAATACTTCCTATCTGAAGCCTTATAATTATAATTTTCTTATAAAAAAAATCATTTTATTCGAATTAAAACGACGCACAAGAGCGAAATATTTTTAGTCAATGTTAACCTCGCCGGGTCATATCGCGACAAACATGATTGAGGTTACGAGCAATGTAAAGTTTTCGTGATTATTTTTACACTCACGAGTGTGTATTGCATCTATGGCGATCCGTACGATCTGCCGGAAGGATAGGCTGGTCATGTAAAAGTCGCAATTTTCCTCATTCGACAAACGTAACCGTACAAAAAGCAACGGAGCATCGCGTGCAATTATATTGAATCATATGTTGTCATATGTCAAAAGGGCGATCACGTGACATGTGACGAGAGAAAGGTGCGTTCGAAATTCGATCTTATTAACGAATCATAAACGTGTTGCGCACGTGTTCAAGCATGGCAATTAACAATGATATCAATAATATGTTTGTGTGTTTTACTCATGAATGATGCATGAATTTCGATGAATTGAATGGAATTTTGGCAGGATCATTAAAAATTATACATACCTTTCGTTGCCTCACGTTCATGTTTCAATAAATATGACAAAACGATTCAGTTATGTTAATAAATCGCGAGACAAGCAAGTAGAAAAAAAAATTGAAAGAAGAGAAGTACACGTAAAATCAAAAGATTATACGAGGGATTGCGTAAAACTCATTGCACGGTAACGGAATAACTGAATTGGATTGAACAGCGTAGCTCATCGCTCAAGTCCGACGTTTATGTCTGTGAAGATGACGTGCGCCCGACTGTCGATTAGTATTAGTATGTGTCTGCAACTCATGGCGACATCGATAACATTTCAAGGCCCTCTTCATGAATGTGAAGACTAGTGGCTTGTAGATATGTTCCGTCTTCGGCGATGGTGCAAAGGTGAATAGATAGAGACAGAAAGAAAGAGAGAGAGAGAGAATAATGAACAGACGAGTAAATCAGTCTTTTATAAGCATTTATGAAAGTTCTATGAAATCATATTACTTTAGACGCTTGATACCATTTATATATAACAGATAACAATATAAATGGAGCAAATCAATACAGATAATTTAATGAGAAATTTATGTGTAATGAGAGACTAGAAAGAGGGAGAAAGACGTGACGTGTACATGTGCAAGAGTATCAGCAAGGATGAAAGGCGCTTTACAGTTCCGAAGTTTTTTTACGTAATTCTTAAAAAAAAAAGGTAATTAACAGCAAAAACAAGCTTAAAACTGAAACCTAATGTGTCATCGTCATTTGGTTCTACGAAATCATTTTAGTATTTGTTGTCTGTACACAGTTATAATTCTTACTTTACGATATTACATATCTGCACTTATCATGATTGTTATACAAAAATATAAAAGTCATTGTCGCTTAATCACTGCATTATGTAATGCAGTTAAATAGAGACATGTAAAATGTGTTCATAGTAAATAGCCATTACTAGCAAAATCGCAATATTAACTTTCGACATTTAAGTGTTGTCTGAGCCTACAATGCAATTAATTACTAACTGTGAGTAAAGAACTTGCAAATATAATATACTTTACAATATTATATACATAGATTGAGTGTAATTTATTGAACAGTATGTGTTGTGATTAAACAGTATGTGTTGTGTAACCATATTTAACATATTTGTTAAATACATATAACAATAATTAAAATTAATATTAATAATAAAAGAAATGTCTATTTGGGCTTTCTTAATGATAAAATTATAACATTCAAATATAATAGCTATATAAGCCCAGAGCCAGGTATTGATTGCTCAGTAAAATTAAAATTATATTAAAATGATCATGATTACAGCTAAATTTTTTTGTTAAATTTTTTGTTTTCTAAATGAATTCTATTTTGCACACACATTCTACTGTTAAGAACTACTCATTTGCATGTATATAGATAAAATGTTATTGACAAGTATTGGATGAGATTTTATATGAACTCTAATATTTAACATGTTTGATATAATTAATATTTATTCATGTTAATTTAACCTGAGTGTGGGTATATTAAGTTGTTATATTATATAAGTTTCTGATATTCAAGTGACAAACAAAAATAAAGTAGCTTACAATAAATACAATGTTTTTTTCTTGAAAAAATATCCAAGATAAAAGCTCAAGGACATTACTCCTTCTTAAGATTGATGAATAATAATGATTTTTTAAATGGAGTATCAAAAAACAGATAACAATGACTTCATTGGAAAAAAACTGTGTTCATTCCCAAACAACAATAAACTATAAAAACAAGTTTAATTACATGTATATTAATTATTATAATTAATAATGTAGCATTATAATATTGATTCATGTATTAATCTAATTATATTTGAGAATAAAATAAACTTTAATATGTAAACTTCATTAACTTTAATAAAGACTATGTATTAATCATTACACCAAAGGTTAGAATTCTTTTCTGTGTTAAAAATAGATCCCAACTCAACAAAAATATTTTTAGTTCGTAGTATTCTCCAGATTTCTTATGCAGCATAGACCATGCTGACACAAACTTTTATCAAGATAAAATTTTAGTGTAAAAGTGAAGAAGTTTTATCTTATGCAAAGAAAGTGTACATATCAGTATCTTTTGATGCTTTACTGGAGAAGATAACATACCATTATATGGAATCTGTCAAACCAAATTGGTAAGAAGTATATAAAGATTATACGATGTTAATAATTTTAAAGATCTTTTAATTTAAAAGTAAAAGAAATTTAACTGAAATATTTTCTTTCAGATGCAACTTATGTGATATAAATGATAATATAAAATATATATATTGATTATTCTTTTTACATTTTATATATCAGTTAGACAATTCTTTTTTTGAGCAAAAATGACACATCACACTACAGACAATCTTTTAAAAGCGGCTGTCATCCAGATTGGTGCTGGAGGATCAGCTGGTTTTGTTGAAGTTTGTATAATGCATCCGATGGACCTTGTTAAAACACGTTTTCAGCTTCAAGTGAAGACAATGAATTTAGATCCATTATATTACACAGGTATTTTGTGTAAAGTATTAATATTTATACCAAATTATACATTAACTGTACTAATTTTATTATAGGTATCCGGGATTGTATGACTAAAATGTATAAAACTGAAGGAGTAAGAGCATTTTGGAAGGGAATTCTACCTCCTATAATTGTAGAGACTCCTAAACGCGCTGTCAAAGTGAGTGTTCACCGTTTAAATAGATGAATCATTTTTTTTATTTGTAAAAAATTATATATATATATATATATATATTATTTTTTTTTTTAGTTTTTTACGTTTGAGCAATATAAACAGTTTTTCTTATTCGGCAGTAGTGCACCCACTCCATTGGTAATTACAGGAATATAATTATTAATATATAATTTTCTAACTCTTTGTAAAATAACCAAGTTCACATGATTGCAGACATTTTCATGCGCTGGTTTCTTCGCCGGTGTTACAGAAGCTATATTAGTTAATCCTTTTGAGGTGGTTAAAGTGAAATTGCAATCTAATCGAAAACATATCAAAGAGAGCCCATCAACATTTGCGGTGACAAAAGAAATCGTTTCAAAGTATGGTTTGAATGGTTTAAACAAGGGACTCTCAGCCACTATAATGAGAAACGCGGTGTTCAATTCATTTTATTTTGGTTTTTATCATTCTGTTAAAGGATATATACCAGTTAAAGAAGAACCTTGGTTGGAATTTTTAACTAAAGTAATTTTGATTTTTTATGACAGTAAATATGTAGTTATGTATTGCTTTTTTTTTCAGTTTGTCATATACATTGAAAATGTTCTAGGTTGCTATAGGATTTGTGTCAGGCACGGTTGCTTCCTGTTTAAACATACCGTTTGACGTTGCCAAAAGTCGTATTCAGGGATCACAAGATGGTACACAATATAAAGGAACAATAAAGACCATGCATATTGTTTATAAGAGAGAAGGGTATTTATGTTTTACTTACGATTTAATACGATTGCTCAGGTTTTGATTGTAATATATACTTTTTCACACACATTCTAGATTCAAAGCTCTGTATAAAGGTTTGGTGCCAAAAGTCTTGAGATTAGGTCCAGGCGGTGCTATTATGCTTGTAGTATACGACTATATGCATGTGTTTCTTACAAAAAAGTTTAAAGATTAATTTTTAATTGCATTTTTGGACAAGCTGTGAAATACTAAGGATAAGCTGTTTTCCTTTCTCCAAGAAGATGCATTTGATTTATATATGTATATGTAATATATATATCATATAAAATAAATATTCATATAATTTTATAATGAAAATATGATTTTTCACACATTTTGTAACTCAAACACTTTTAACGTTTTTAATATATTTATTTGTCTTCTCCTAAATAATCTTAACAGTTTAGTCTTCATATTTCAAAATCATAAAAAAAGAATTATTTAACACAAAATTTTTTATTCTCTCAATCATCTAAAATGGAATCTAACCATTTCTCTAAATCGATTGGCTTAGTTGGAACATTTTTTGGCTTTTCTTTAGAATCTGCAATAAATTATCAGTATAAATATATAAACTTGTAGCATAAATTTGTTATACTTATTTTATCACAAAACCAAGAATTTGTTGAATCAAATTTGTACGTTTATAATTACATACATAAGCTTTTATATCACTTTCAAAATAAATGGCTTATATATCAAATTGACTGATTTTAGAATTGATTTTAATCACTTCATTTATCTTTATAATTTCCAAGATAAAAATTGCAAAATAATAAAATTATAAGAAATAGAATATCTTCCTTAATCCAAGATCTCTTACCAATATTATGAGATATCGAAATAGATTGTGTAACTGTTGTTGGATTATTCTGGACCGGCTCTTTTAAGGACAACAAAAAATCTATGTCTTCTTCTAAATTATTGGTACTATTTTTTGATTGGGATTCTGCATTCACTGTTAACTCCAAATCTTCTGATTGATCAGTCCTTGTATTTTCGTTTGTTTCATTTTTCAAATGTTCTTCAGCAGACGATAAACTTGACGCATTTAAATCATTTAAAATAGCATTGTAAACAGCTTTTCCTTTCTCGGTGGTATTATATATACTTATTAATTGATCACTCTAGAAATAATCATACATAAATAATAAAATCTTTGATTAATCGTTCAAATATAATCAAGATAACGAGACTAAATATCGACAATCCAGATTACTTACAGTGAAATATCTTTGATCTATATTCATATATTCGTTAAATGGAATACAATTAATCGCGGCTGATAATATTTTTAGGTTTAAAGTGAAATATTGCGCGTACTGCGACGAGTCAACGGGCCACACATCTTTCTCCGATTTAAAAACGAAATGTCCATCTTTCGAGAGCGGCGCGTTTATAAGAGTGCCGAAATCTTTGCCCACATCCTCGTCCGTTGATATTTCTGTATAATCGGCAAAAGACGACGAAGGTTGCCGTAATCTCTCTTTCCTTTTGTCTTTCCCTTTTGACTTGTGCATTTTGACGTTTGTCGATTAGATGTAAGATTGCAAGGTTAGGATGTCGGAATTGGCATGTATATTTCAAATTACATGTATACACGTATATTTAAAATTTAAAGTTGGACGATGTGTATAGTTGGTTAATAAATGCTTTACACAATTTTTATTAAAAAATTCTATTCTTTTTATGTTTACAAATTTGATTGATTCTTATGTAAATGTTTCTTCTTTCAAATTTTTAAATTTTATTTCTCTAGATCTTTTTCACATTTCCAAGGCTTGCACAAAAGCTGGAATAAAGATAAAATCAATCGCGTGTTTAATGTAAAAAATGTATTACTTTTTATAAATTCGGCACGTAATTCGCATATGCATATCATACAATTATACAAAAAATTTGAATATATCTTAAAATACATCAATGAAGTAATGAAAGAGTTACAATAAAAGTGATGTCATAGCTAATTTTTTTTTTTTTAATAGAATTAATACAGTATATATTCCATCGCTAATATTTTCTTTATATGTGATATTTGTTAAGCATACATTATACTTTACATTTTGATTTCTACTTGATGTGTGTTATGTAATTTAAACGGATAATTCATATTCGAAGATAAGATTTATGTTAGCTTTTTTTCACAAAGCCACATATATATGTGATGTGCAAGTTATTATTTTACTTAAAATATGATAAAATTCGGATCTGAAGAAGCAAGGACAAAAAAGTATGAAATTATAAAAATGTTACACAAGTATAGAAATGAAAGAACTAGACATTTTTTGCTTCTTCAAATTCAAGTTTTCAGAAATGATCTATGGCAGCTGGGATCTACAAATCCAAAAAGTTCATTTCTTACTGGAAGCTGACTTTTATTGGCATTAGATTTCTCAAATCAAGTCTTAATAAACGGATAACTCTATTATGTATCATACCTTACTTTTATATCATACTTCTACAAGATTAAAATGCTTGTAAGGATAATAATAATAATGCGCAGACTAAAGGCTATTGAAAGATTAAAGCAGTGTTAGTTTAATCGCAAGTACGAAAAAAGCATCTTAAGTGACAAAGTAGAACTTTGCAATGTAATAAAAAGGGGATTAGGCATTCATGGTAGAAACAACATTTATTAATGAAATATTCTGAAAGTTCCGAATAATTGCTGTTAGGTAAATAAAATCATAACAGAACAGTTTTGTTGGAGAAAACAGAGGTCTCAGGATGGTGGAGGGAGAGGATGGTGTAAAGGTATAAGAATTTTTATTTATTTTCGTATATGTGTGTATATATATATGTATTATATATATATATAAATATATATATATATGCATCTCTCTAAAGCGAATGGTGGCATATGGCAACCAAACCAACTGATAAAGAATATGATCGGTATAAAGGTTTGGGAGCACCTTACGCTCGTCCCTATTTTACGAAAGATTTCGATGCTTCTTGAACATTTTCGTAAACACGTTCCGCCCTGTTTCACCCCCAACTAAACGACTCGTCCCGGTCGGGGGTCTGACGATCAACTCGATTCTGACTGTCTTCGGGCTTGCATTACTTGAAGTTCTCTTCTAGGCTTGAGACTTCTCAGCCGGAAATGAATTGCAGATCATATTCTTTGTCACAAGCAACCGAGAAAACCTTCGGATTCTTGATAATGTGAGCAAGATAAACGTGTCTTCGGATATCTTGTCTTCAACTTTTCAAAACTCATTTTTTCAGAGAGTGAAACTTCAAACTTCCCTCAATCATCCAATACCTCTTGATTCAAAACCTTATAAACAAACAAACAGGTTAGAGAACTTACTTTTACTCGAGGTTCATTATTATTATTTTTTTTCTTTTTTTTTTGGTATCTTCTTTTTTTTTTCGTTTTCTTGCTTTTTTAATTCATTTATTTTTTCTCGTCTTTTTAGAAAGAATATCCATATCTTTCAGATTTTGCCCAACGGCTGGAATACAACTGTAAGCTAGCAATCAAGAAAATACCGAGCACTCAATTATATTCCAGCTTTCACATTATAGCCATGATAATTTTACATAAAATTTAAACCTTATCTTCATAATACTAGTAGGAAGCGATATAAACTTATGAAAATAAGGTTTTTGTCCTATTCTAACCTTACTGGTTTCGTGCAAGCAGTATGCTCTACTGTACACTCTATTCCGCATTTTGTTAAAATTATGAATTAATATCATACAATGTTGCAACTTAAATGCAGTATATAATTAAATCGCATATGATGCAGAATTAGGTAAGGTAAGAATAGTAATATAATGTAATGGATCTTTTTTTGACCCGTTGTTAGAAGAAATATTCTCGGGTCAAAGTCAATGGTTCTCCCAAAACACCTGGCCTCTCGCATCACACTCGTGTCACTTAATACCGACCTGAAATTCATTAAGCAACAAAAAAACCATGATTGTTTTACGCAAGTTACGGATTGCTGCTTAGTTACTACCGTATGATTTATCGGATGCATTTCTCTGACGTTCCGTCTGCCATTTCTCGCTAACTTAAGTATTTACACTTTGCAACCCAGTTAACGTTACAATTTCAAGTAGAAACATAAGCAGTCTATGAAAATATAAATCCGGAATGTAACATGAGTTTTTAACATACCTTTTTTTTATGTTAGTACTAATACGTATTTCATTATCAGCATAATTATTTCCTGTTCATTTTATGTAAAAAGTATTCTGCGTCAAGTTTTTTTCTAATTCATTCAGATTTCCGTCTTCAAAAAAGTAGACAATTAATGCATATAAAATTGATAAAATGTTTAGCTGTAACGCATAGTTACAAGCATAATGAATCATGTCTCTTTTCAGAAATATAAAATGTAAAATCCATTTTTATACGTAAAATTTGTCTTGCTAAATTGACAAAAATTAGCACATAAAAATATATAAGCAAAATAAGACAAAATAGTAGACTAAAAACGAATGACATAATTGTGTCATAAATTACTAAAATATTAAATATTCAACAGATAATTTGCATTTCAAAATATAGCCGCGCTAACTTTAGCATATTAAAGGAATGATACATATTCATAAACTGCTTATATTACAATACAAGTTAAAATCAAGACTACACTTACGTGGAGAGTAAGAGCGTGATCTAGAACGATCGTAGCGTGAACGTCGACGGCTGTAGTACGGACTGGGCGTGCGGCGATAGCTTCCTCTATAGCTGATCCTAGCACAAGCAGAACGTTAAGGAACATTTGAACAATATATGTGACAATCGGTATCAATTATCTTTTTTATTAAGTTAATTATTAATTATTATTAATTATTTTTATATTATTATATTATTTTAAATAATTCTTTTTATTAATTATCTTTTTTTATTAAGTTGTAGATTTGTATTACTGTTTGAGTACTAAACTTACTCCCTACGTCTCGGTCCGTCCCAACCTCTATCATGCAAATGCGTAGGCTTTCCCATGTATATTCCTGGAGTGGGTGTGTGAGCACGTTGCGTAATCGAAAAATCTACCCTTATTCGCCTTCCATCGATGTCCATGCCAGTACATTGCTCTTTAGCCACTTTGGCATCCTCCGATGATTCGAAATACACAAAGCAAAATCCTCGAGATCTTCCAGTCTGTAACAAACATGATATTATTGCAATATTAATGTGTTATCATTATAATTCCACAGTATGCTAAACCCTACTAATTATAATTTATATGGTTTGTGACCAGAGGCCTTTAACGCATCACATGAATCTTAAGTATGAACGTTCTAAAGCTCTGGCATTTTATTATTCCCCATTGAATATATCTGCGGGGTGCAACAGACTGCTTTGAACACTATTTTAATTATAATACATATTGACAATCACACACCTTAGCATCAATAACAACCTGCACACGTTCCACAGGACCATATTTGGAGAATATGTGATGTATCTGCTGCTCCGTTGTAAAAATTGACAATCCGAACACACCTAGACATCTGGAGGGGCAAGGATTGTCGCGATTGCCAACATGTCGGCGTCTGGACGACATCGGGCTGCGCGAGTGAGACCGATACACGTGCCGGTCGCGAGAATATCGGGATCGCGAGTATGAACGGGATCTACTACGAGAGTAACGACCGCTACGATATGGGGAACGACTACGGCTGCGGCTACTACCGCGGTGACCGACGCTCGTATACTTGCTGCCACGATATGATTTTCGCCCACGAGACACCGAACGACTACGCGATCTCGAGTACTTAACCTCTCTGTGCGAATCTTTACGCTCGCGCGATTTACGCGATCTCGAATGCGATCGCGAATCTCTTAGGCCGCCGTCCGCGGTTCGTGGTCTTCGTGGACTTGCGCTGCGACTACCGCTCCTCTGTAAATTAAGACAAACAATTGTTATTACAAATTATCGCACACATACATATTCTACATGGGAAATCAGAAATTTAGAATATGAGAAAACATATGAGAAACTATTTAATAAAGTTTCTTTAACCTACTGATTGCCATTACTTGTAATTTTATGGTATTATAAATATTCAATATGTATATATTGCATTTTTGTACATAAAAAATACAAAAATATCAAAAAGTGAGATTTTTATAAGGTGAGAAAATTTAGAATAAATTTGCAAATAAGAAATAGTAACGTGTTAAACATTTAAAAACGAGATTAAATTTTCTCAATAATATAACAAAGGATCTCTGATACAATAGATTAAATAGTCAATAAAATCAAACAATTTTGTACACAAACAGATATCATAACAGAACACAACAATTTCTCCGCAGATAATACTTTAACAAAAAAACATAACACATGTAAACACTTAATTTTCATAATATATACAATTATGAGTAGTCAGTTTAAAATTTGTTCGAACAATATATTAAAATTAGGTTTTTCTTATACAAAACTGCTATTAACAGTAGAATGATTAATAGTTCTAAACATTGAAGCATGTGTGAATTAATCGTTGAACACAAATCAGTTTTCTCTATTTATAACCTTACAAATATTTTTTATTAAAATAACAGTTACACGGAGAAATATATGATGTTAATAATTTAGCGCGTCGAAATCGTATTTATCATCGAAATATGTCTTATGATTAATAGGTAAAAATCCTCGTTGAGTATTACGTGTTCGCGTGAAATTAATCATGGCTGTGTCGAACCGCGTTGTTGGATCGATAATGGCCGAGTCGAATAAGGTATTATAATTTGCGCGACATGATTCACATTGTCGTGCGAGATTTGTAACGCGTTATGCTCACCTCGATGTCACTCATCGCTGATATATCTCAAATGCAGCTCTTCGAAAAATGGAACGCCGCAGCAGACTTATATTCCAAGTTGTCGTTCACGATAATATGGCGTATATCCCAACAGGAAATGGTAGATCTGAACGTACACAAATGAACGCACCAACATCCGGTAGCGTTGCTATGGAAACGGCGATTTGTTTCAGTTATGACGGATTCATACTACATGCGTTATTCGATATACCTTCAATGTCCAATAAGAAGAGCTTTCTTTCTAGTAATAAATATGGTATCAGACAAAATCTTCAGAAGATACGTTATTCTATTGGATATCGACAACTTCGTGGATTGGACATGCTGGATACTGTCCAAGTGTAAATATTTTATGAAAGTTTGCTCTACTGCGCATATTCGGTAAAGTCTCAGAATCCGGAAACACTGGGTGGAATTCACGCTTCGTGATGAATAGTTTGCTCACCCTGCGCTGGAGAGGGCATGGGAATGGCGGTTTGTGAGTTATGCAGTTTCTATCGTTAGTTTTGACGCGTATTACATAAAAAGTAGAATGTCTCGCATGATGCCAAACATTGTATGAAGTCACATCGATAGCGTCAATAATGTGACATTTGGATTGGAACTGGTAAATATTCTCCCGCCGTCGTACCACGTCCAGGTGAGTAGACGTTACCTGACGCGATCTAACTGTTCGCATGGTTTTATCAAATTAAAAAAAAATACTTTGGATTCGGTATTATCGGTCTCTGATCGATGTATGATCCGTGCAGCCAAACTTGTACAAGATCTGGTTATGTCGACGGTGATTTCATGTTTATAATGTACAGATTTATATAGCGTCTTAATTTTTTCGATCAACGGTGTATATAAGATGATAAAAATTTATTATCGCAGAGCAATATAATTTACTTTTTAATAATAATAATGTAGTAATAATATCTGTGTATGGACAGTATTGATTCCATTAAAATATGATACAATTATACATGTGTTCTGTTATGATTTGATTTTTATATATCTATTTTACACATCAATTTTTATCTCAATGTCTAATTTTACACTCATGTATATTTGTGTTACTGTTCATATAATTGGCATATTAATATAATTTACAGAACGATGTATTATTTTCAATACACTGATTGCTCTGTTGTGTTTGTTATATACGTTCTAGTTTGATTAAGTCATGCTTATATAGGAGAAATAAGATTGTTACACAGGTGATGCAGACTCTCTGATAAAATACATGCTATTCATACAGACAATGTATTAAAGGAGCTGCTCAAAAGATCCAATTACATTTCAGTAATTTTTGTAGGCAAAAATGTCAGCTGAATACAGCCGAAGTGTTTTAAAAATGGTTATTGCTCAGATTTGTCAGACAATAGGATGGCATTCTATTAATACCACGCCATTAGAATTTATGGTGGATCTAATGCAAGAATATTTATTACGCGTTTCAAAACTTACACATCAATATGCTGAAGTTTGTGAGTAGCTATTACATTAATATTCATAATAATCACTTTTGTTAAAAAATCTTTTTTACTTTGTGTATATATTTTATAGACAAAAATTCTGATTAAGAAATGATCCATGTTTTTAAGACTGTTTAGTGACATTGTACATTTATATTGCACATTATATTTTACAGTGGGAAGAACAGAACCAAATCTTGATGATTTAGGATTAACATTTCGATATATGAATATTAATATACAGGATCTAGCTGAATACGTAAAAAATGTAGACTCTGTTCCATGCCTTACACAGGTACCACAGTACCCTGTTCGGCGTGAAAATCATTTAAATTTTTTAAAACCGGGCAGTCGTGAAGTTGTCACTAGACCTGTACATGTGCATGAACATTTACCAGCTATGTATCCAGATACCGAAGGTAATAACTTGTGTTCTCTGTGTTGAATGACTGTGATAACATAATTACGTTGCTTTATATTTATATTTTACATCAATATATGATGATTTACAGAGGAGTTTTATATCAGATAAGAATGAAATTGTAATCAATGGTACAACTGACGTGACATCTAGCAATGGAACATCATCAAGCAATTCAAATAACACTTCACCTCATAGAATGTCGCCACAAGTGGTTTTCAAACGGCCCGGCGATCCAGTGTCTTTTGAGAGTCCTATAGTGAAGCGGACGAAAATTTTAGAAGAAGGTAGACCATTACGTGAAATAAGCAGCGTTATGATGACCACTTCCGGTTTTTTATCACCTGCGCGAGAAGGAAAGTTGCCTGAAGCGAGAACGCCGCATCAAGTACGATCAGATTCGCCGCAACCGAGCTCTTATCCAATGGTGCCGCCTGAATTGAAATGCGACAAGAAACCGAAGAAGGTTGTAAAGAAAGATGCAGAGGAACGTAAGCTCGACAAGGAGAATAAGAAGAAGAAAGGTACGAAGGAATTATCCAAAGCGGACAAGGTCGACGATAGCAAAATTAAAAAATTGGTCGCGATGAAGGAACTAGCCAAATTGAAGCCCTTGAAACCTGGCGGCGGTAAGACGCAGCCCGCCACGTTACAAGAGCTTGTAGGCAGCAGGCCGTCTACGCCGAAGATCGCGTCGCCGAAATCAGCCGCCAACAGTCCAAAGTCGTCGAAGGTTGCGCAGCCGAAGGTCAAGACTGAGAAAGTGATAGATCTGACGGATGGCTCTCCCGCTGCAGAGAAAAAGCAGGATACCGTCGACAAGTTACCTTCGGAACCGGACAAACAGAAGTTGAATATATTCAAGAAGATATCGAAACCGCGCGAGGAGAAGGACAAGGACAAGGACAAGGACAAGGAGACGCCGGAACCGCACAAGTACAAGGAAGTTCTCGATTCGCGCGACAACTCGCCGGAATTGATTATAGATGTCGAGAATGCGGAGAAGCATCGTAACGACGTAGATGGCAAAGGAGGACGCGAGGAGAAAAAGACGCCGCATACACCGGACGTGCACATACAACCGGACGGCGATTTAGCTGGGAGTCCGCCGTCGGATGTTTACATGTTCGACGATGCTTCACCGCCGGGCACACCTAGTACGCCGAAAACTCCCGAGTTAAGTGTGCCCATTGTTCCGGAACAACAGAAGCGGAAGAAGAAGGAGAAGAGCAGCAAGAAGAAAGAACCTAAATTAAAAAGTCCGAAGCAGTGCGTCAGCCCGAAGAAGGTAGGCCACATTATACATATCGTTCTTTGCATGCTCAATGTAGGTGTTGAAAAGTTACATGTGTAAACTTTATGGTTTCTCCCATCGAAGTCGATGTGCCTTTAGCGACTGGATTTTTTAATTCTAATTTACGTGTGTGTGTGCACGCCATATCTTTTCTATCTTTGAATATTAATTCATTCTGTTGATGCTACTTTTCAGATGAAGCTTTCGAATGATACCGCAGAAGTGGACATATTAGATCGACCGAAAACACCGCAAGCGCCCGAGCCACCATTGCACAGAGAGCCCACTCTGCCACCTGCACTTCCACCGTTCCCCTTTTTCCCTCCGTTCCCTTCGGCACCTGGTTTAATACCCTATCCAATGTTCTCACGATTTCCACTACCGCCGGGCCGAGATGGGCCAGGTCCCCATCCCGCGATGCCGAATTTAGCACTACCGCCACGTTTTCTCAATCCATCCATGAAGCCCGAAGATTTTCCGTTGTCCAAAATCAAACCGATGGAACGTGAGAAGCCACTGATTTCCTCGCCAGTCGAATTTGCATGTTCATCAGTTCCAGGCGAAAACGAGAAGGCGGACAAAGAGAAGGTGGATAATAAAGTTACAAAAATGTTTAAACCAAACAAAGAATTACCTTTCATGAAAGCACCTGAGAGGATACCACCTGTAGGCGTTGCACCGCCTATAATGTCCGCACCTGTCGCACCAATCACGCTTGCACCTCAAGTACCCGCCGCGCAAATGCCACCGTCGAAAAATTCTAAAACTGAAAAAGCAGAGAAGAATGATATGGTAAATTCGGTAGGAAACCATATCGTTAGATATCTCCATTTCGTCATACTAGCTTTTTAACGAAACATCTTGATGAAAATAACTCCTATGCATGATATGTTCATTTAAATCCATCAGGAATTCCATATAATTGCTATATGATCCTATTTTAGCAACTAATTTGATAGTTTTTGTATATGTTATATATAACAATTTATATTTTCAGAAATCAAAAGAACACAAGAAAGAAAAGAAGGATAAATTAAAGAAGAAGAAGGATAAGAAAGAGAAACATAAAGATAAAGGCGAGAAAGTGAAGGAGAAGAAAGAAAAGGCTGAGAAACGCGAGAAATTGGAAAAGATTAAAGAGAAAAAGGAGAAGAAAGAGAAGAAAAAGGAAAAGGATTCAAATAAGAAAAATATGGTATTTATATATCTGCTATAAATGATATTGACATAATATGAAAGTAATAAGTAATTTATTACGTATGTATCGTTATAGAAGGAAGATAAGAATCAAGAAGCTGTTCCAAAAATCACGTTAAAATTAGGTACAGCTTCTCCTAGACCCGCAACACCAGACAACGCTCTTACGAAGAAAATGTAAGTTACAAATTATCATATTTTTGTTAGTAATTGAGATGAGAATTCTTATATGTGTTATTAATTTTTATATAAAGTTTTCATCATATTACAATCTTCCATTTAATTTCTTGCTACATTTCATTAGTTTATTGAAAACAGATTTTTGGCTTTATATTGTTGAATTGCAAATTGTATTATGCTTTATAATTCAATAAACTTCTAATAAATTCAATAAACTTCTAATAAATTTTTTATAATTTATATTTCCAATGTAAATAACCGTTAAACTCTTTTGTTTTCTTCCAGAACAATTAAACCACTTGTGAAAAAACCCGATGAAGAGATCAAGCGGGAACCTAGTCCAGAGTTGGCAAAAATATCAGCGTTAGTAACACGACCACCAAAACAAAAGTCAGCAAGTAAGAAAACAGAGGAGGGATTATTAGATGGAAGCCCTGCTCTTCCTACAGACACTTTCTCTGCCAATCTTATTAGCGTGCCACTTGCATCAGTTCCTCGAGCAAAGAAATCTAATTTCCAAAGTCTGCCTCAAAGTGAGCAAATACCTTCGCCTCACTTCGATCCTCCTAAAATCCCGAATCCTCTAGCGCCGCCACAACAACCGCCATATTATTTTGTAAGTACATTTATCATAATATTCACACAATGGGGGATCATTTAAATTCACGTCAAGATTCAAGATCTTAGAATATAAACGCTGTAGGTAATATTTTATAGCAAAGAAAATCTTTGATAAACTCATCGAATTTGTAATCAACTAGCCATCTATGCAGGAGAAAAGAATATATAAGACTTGAAAATTATTGCAGATTCCTGGTTTCGAAATACTATATGCACAATCGAATAGAAATATACAAATATTTAAAAATATATCCTGTTAATCTATTTTGACATTGTATAGAAAATCTACATTATTTTTCAAGTTTAAACAGTATAATTGCAATTAAAAAGGCAACAATAGGACGGTAAATATAATTGAACTTTTTGCAAATTTCAAATCAAAATATATCAATATTTAATTTTCTTACCAAAATTATTATCGTGATAAAGTGAATTGGGGAGGACTTGATTTAAATTATATCAAATATTTTATTGACATTTTATAATGATGAACCCAACCCATCGATATTTCTTCAAGTATAAACCTATCCAAAAATTCCAATTTCCTATTCATTTTACGCTATCTATGCATTTAGGACTTGTGGTGACGGTATCATGTCTCTTTTTTTTCTTAAGCCACGCTTTTGATATATTGTTATGTTGTCCAAACTATGAATGTAGTACACATTCTTATATCTATATTTAGAATTACTGTGTATCTTATGTTGCAGTCATTACTTTACTCACTTTCTTCAAATTTAATATCTGATTTCTATTTTCTAAACCTATATTGAGTCTTAAATTCTTTTATTCTTACATAAAAATTCAGTCTTAAACGCTTCTTTTGCCGTTCCATTTTTCTGTTCGGCAAAATTGTTCTGTACAAAGAACTTTTCAGAAAAGATATTTGTATTTTTGATAATTAGTTTAGATAATATGTTACAAAATATTATTTAGCATCATATATTTTAAGAAAATTTATTCGTATTATTAATAAATTCGATAATTTTTTTGTTTAATCTGTTACGTTAAGTTTTGTGATATTTATGTATAAATCTTTTCTGAATAGCTGCATTTTGAGTTTACCATTTGTAGAATTAACTGCATATACATAAATATGGACATATTTCTTCATTATCTATTAAAAAAGAGAATTTGATTGTGCGTTTTAAGAACTAAAAAGAACCATTTATCATCATCATTTTGTCATACGTTTTACATAAATCAACTTCATATGCATACAATATTCTAGACTTGTCTCTTCTTACAAATTTGCGACATACTATAATTTTGCATATAATATAACAGATTTAACAAACAAATATCTATTTACACTACAAATGCAATTTTTATAGAAGTATTACCGCACATTTTATGTATACGATATCATTAATTTTCAAATACCAGAGTACCAAAAACGTAAAGTATTATTATTTTTAATTTTAACATGTTAAAGTATATATAATTAAACTGTTATCAAAACAAATTACAAATTTTAAAGTTCGATTAATGACATTTTATTCTTAATATTTTCGTACATGTCAAACGAAGTAATTTCTTTTACAATATATCTATCTTATGTTAATTAATAATATGCCCATGCTTCTCATTGATTTCTATTTTCTATTCAGCAAATACAGTCACAAATTAGTGCACAAGTATATAGGGTGTTCCAGATTTTATTTTTACACGAGTAAAAATAAGAAAAATATATTAGATAAAGCCTTTGTGAGAAAGTCATAACAGAAATACAAAATAAAGCAAATTTCATAATTACATCTTTCGATTGATCGAGGACTGCAAAAAAGTTGGTTTTTTTTCCTTTCTTATTTTTACTGATAGAACACGCTGGCTTAGCTTGACTACTAAAATCTGGGATATTCTGTATAATTTTCACGTACAAATAGTTATACAATTAGGACTTATGTGCAATTTCTAAATTTGCTGCTTGACTGTTAACTAGTAGTACTAGAGCATGCGTCTTATTAGTTACTAATGTAACTAATATAATATCAACCTGAACATATCTTCCATTTTTAATTCTTACTCTGAGAATTTGCTTGATCTAAGACACAGTGAGAAAATAACGATTTGTCTTATAACATTCACTCCTTTTTTTTTTAACCGAAAATATATTAACGATTTGCACGTTATATTAATACACCATTTATTAGTAATAGAGATAACAGAGAAAACATTAAGAAATTAATCTAGCAGCAAAATATAAAGTTAGACCGTTGCATGAAATTTGCACGTTGCATAAAAAGAAGTTTGGCATGAGAGATCCGTTAGGGGGGAATATAACTGACGGTTTTAACGGTACAGAGGTGAAAGCAGTCCCAGTTCCTAAAAAGGACGATGCTAAGGAAGACAAAGAAAATGGCAGGAACATGTTGCCTACAACACCAACCACTACTGTGGTGAGTACGCTTCCCACCTCTTTTAAAGAACGTTGCAAGGCATTTTCTATACGCCAATGTCATGGACAACTAGTTTCCATACTTTATAACATTAGTTACAACACGATGCGTACGTCTTATTGCAAAGAAAGCAAAATAAATATAGAAATAACGTGCTCGTTAGCTGACATAGACATTTTAAATAGGGGAACGATTTACACGTTTGAAAACTTAGAACATGATTTAAAGGAGACATGTATGCGTGTCGGATATTAAAGAAGAGACAAGTTCATCTTCAACTCATATGCTTTCATAAATCATTTTATCGAAATACATAAATCCCATATACATTATTTAAGACTCAAGAATGTTTACAGAAAATATATAAGATATACTGAGATTTCATTATTATCAAAATATTTCTCCATCACATAAAAGAAAATTATTGATGGACAGCATGACAACATATCTTGATGCGAAGTCTTCTGGCCAATTCCTGCAAAGTCAGACTCAGCATATTATCAAGGAATTTTAACGTACTACTGTTTTAAAAATAGACATTCCGCATTCCGATGAATATTTCAACAATTTTCCAAAATTCTAAAACAAGTTTGTTAAAGATGGGTTGGGTTAGATAAAAATCTGCCAAGTTCTGTTCTGTTTATTCTGAGATGAGTGTTACAGGATCGTGGAGGCCGTCAAGTATGGATATGTCCTGCATGCGGCAACCAGGATGATGGCTCGCCGATGATTGGCTGCGACGACTGTGACGCGTGGTATCACTGGTAAATAATTCATTGTATAATTTGTATAAAAGATCTCAATTAAAATCAGGAAACTTCTACACTCGACAACTTGATTCTCTAAGAGAGAATTAAAAATCGAATAATAAAGGTCGTTTGATTCGCTTGAAGAGATTACATATGACAATTTAACAATATTTCTAATGTTTTCAGGGTATGCGTCGGCATGCAAGTCCCACCAGCCGATGACGAGGATTGGTACTGTCGTTTCTGCATAGCGAAGAAGCAAGAGCTGCTCCATGATAAGAAGAAGAAAAAGCGGAAAAAGAAGGTGAAAGTAACAGCCTAGTATAAGCCAACCGGGTCTAATTGTATAAGACCCGGTGTCACTGTACCACCTACTACCAAAGTCAAAACAAAGGATCACAAAATTGGCGTCAAGAGTGTGAAAACGAAAAAGGTATCCAAGGGCGATGTTAAGGTACAAATGAAGCCGTTGAAAGGAAAATCGATAGTAGCTAAAGGAAAGGCTGCGAAGAACATAGTGAAAGTAAAAACAGTGAAAAAGAAGTAAAGAAGTTGTTACATTGTGCAATGCAGTTTAGATAGAATTGTATTTTGTGAAATGCAAAACAGATTTAAATGTACGCTATGCTAATTGCTTGTGGTAGTATTCCATATTGTATTAAAAATATTTGTCAGTATTTTAGTTATTGAAGGAATGTTTTTGCTATCACTCAAGATACTGATGATTAGATTATGATGATTGATAGAATATGGAATACTTCTGTTGGTTCTGGAAAGAGCTTCTCGCTTTTCTACTTTGTATACACACTTATGATTTTGTGTCACTGACTGGGTTTACATGTCAACCTTAATCGGGTTTAATAACATCCGTAATTATGAAAGTCATTCCATTTTTCAGAGGAATATCTATCATTGACCAGTTTCACATACGTACGGATGTTATTAAACCCGATTAAGGGTGATGTGTAACAGACCTCACTAACACTGTGCGGTTTATTACACAGTGCGACAAATTTGTAGCATATTTTCTTAGTTCTAATAGGAGATCATATCTTTCTGTCACATTATACTGGCAGACTTCATATAGGGGACACTTCGACAAAAATTATATTCATTTTTAATACAGATATATTACATGAATTATGTAAAATAATATGTTAATATTATTAGTGATGTAGATAGTTATATACTTCATTTCTTTTATTATATATATAATTAAAGACGAGAGAACATACACATCATTGCATTGCAGATAAAATCATAATGAGATACTTTGATATTAATTCTATATGTTATGCTATGAATCACTCCACTAATTTATACATTAATAAATTATGATATAGTATGTATATCGCATCTCCGCAAGAAGAGTGACGCAAGTCGAAATTTTTCGAATTTTGTATTAAGTTGAATTCAAATACATTTCGCGCGAGTCCGCTATATAATACTGCCGTTTAATATATATACATACTGCCGTAAATAATTAATTTGCAAATTATTGTTTAACCAAGCATAAACATGTGAAATTATTTTCCGTAAAATCAAGCTTGCCTCAGACGATTTATAATTTGCGACAGAATTTGAGATAAAAATCTATTCATGATATTATTAATAGGAAACGTTATTATTAACGCAATTTTATTGCGGGGAACAATTTTATATTTTTGACTTGTGTCACTTTTTGCGGGGATGCGATATATAAAATTGTCTTGCATGTATAAAATATTCAATTTTGAAGCGTGTATGTAATATTTATGAATTGTGAAACCGATGATGCTGTCGATAATAAATCAAATTATTATCGTTAAATTAATAACAGCAATAAGGCAAATGTCAATCTATAAAAATTATATCGAGCATATGGCGTTGATTGGAGTGTTATAGTCTGTACAATTCTGCCTAATCTTGTATAGAAGAATAGTTGAAGAATATTGCTCGAATTAATTGGAAATGAACTTCATACGAAGACACTAAATTACAACATATATTTGTAATTATAATATTGCAAAATTTGTTACGCAGTTGATACATACAACAAATACATCTAATAGAATTTTATTCCATATATATTTTTTTTTTCAGCACCAATCCTGTAAATATATAAAATAAAAGGTTATTATCACAAACCAACTGCTAATGTGAGAAATGTACATATTAATCAATAAGGCCATTTGTAAAATAAGTAGCAAAATTGTACGACTGCGATATTTATTATTGTCATCCACTTGAAAGAGAGTGTGGAATACGACAGGTACAAAAGTGTAAAAATTTTACAATTATAAAACTCATTTACACATGTAAGACTTTTATTTGTTTATTACACGATAGAATATGTTATAAAATATTAATATAGACATAATATATCAAATTTTAAAAATACGTTTCACAATCATCCCTGTATTATTCTCAATGTTCTATGTATATATGATTAATTTAATTCATTTATAAACACATGATGTTGAAATCATATATAAATTTTTAATAAAAATTTGTTTAAGATATTTAATGTATGTTAAACGTGATTTTTTACATACGATTGGAAATAATTTCAAAGGCTATTTTTTTCTTTAATAATTTATGGATATAATCTTACAATATTATACAATCTAATTAGATACACGTTTCAAAATACGATGTGGGACATGTAGGAATAAGTTCTTTTTTTATGGAACTTATTTACATAATTAATTAATGATGTCTCTTACAGTGTAAATTCTAATATTCAAAAGCATGATATTGTGTTAACACATCTATTTTATTATGTTATGCTTATATTACTTTTTGTAGGTGGAGCATTAAGCCCACCAGTATCACCAGATTCCAATTGTTTTAACAGCCTGAATAGCGCAGCAGCTTCCCTGATGCGACTAAACTCAATGCAAAATGCTTGAACCTCGATAAATAGTTCTTGCACGTTTATGATCTTGTTTCTTATCAGGGACTGCAGAAATACGCAAACGAGTCGTACTAATCGGTTTTGCATATAACGGTCCTTAATAGTTTCACAAGTAGATATACAATTACTGATATATAAATGGACGAATTCTGTCGGTAGGTCCACAGTGGTGGTTAATCTGTTTACAACTTCCATAGAGTGAAGAGACATCTCCATATTCACTAACACACTGAAATATTCCGTGATTTGACTGGATTGCATTAATTTTAATAAAACTTCGATGGCAATTAGAGGATTATTCTCGACTAGGTCTGGCAATTTGCTAGGCGTGAGCCCAATGTGATAAACAAGCTTCGGATCGTTGTCCAATTCATTGACCAAGTACTGTTGTTGCTGTAACGTTAGCACACTCTTGAATGCCTTGCCCATCAGTTTACGAGCTTCCGCACCAGCACAATTCGACACGCACATACTGGTGTCATACTCAATTTTAAATTGAGTTGGCTCTGTGACGTTCATCCAAGCTATTTCGTTGATGGAGTGAAAAAGTGGTGGCATTAGCCTCAAGAACTCGGGACGATAACTTTGTCTGCACAAAGGTGGATCACCACTAGTAAGCATTTCTGTTATGTTCTTTACACTGGACTTGTCAAATTCTGTTCCTTTAGAGTGATCCATATCAGGCAGGATTACAGGATTGCCGCACTTACTAACAGAAGGTAGCTCGGATTGATGTTCTGCTAATTGTAATTGTAAGTTGGTTAAATCGATAGATGGCACAGGAGCAAAAGAGAATTCGTCAACAATTTGGCGCGGTGTTTTTTTCATAATATCCTTTTGATTGTATCCTAGTAAATTAACCAGTAAATTCTTCTCGCAATTAGACAAAGATGGTATGTGACCTGTAGGTAGCTTTCCATTATTAGTGTCTTCCTGTGACTTCAATACCTGTACAAATACACTGGCAAAAGGCGTGGAAGCCAACGGCTCTCCTTTGTACAAGTCAAAGAGTAATGTCAACGCTATTACACGTTGAACGAGCTTCGGCAATAAATCAATATGTTGTAACTGTAGCAGTAACGTTGTTCCTACCTCAAAGCGATCTTCTTTGGAAAAGATTTGGTGCAACTGGATACAGAGACTTTCTAAACTGGTGTCCAACTTCTCCTCATCGACAAGTTCCAGCAATTTTGTAGTATCTTTTGGAGTAAGCATCTTCACCGTGTGACAAGTGAAACGTTAGCGATAATACGCTTTGTTTTGGACGAGACTTCACATTTAATCCGGTGCTGTAACAAATGTAAACAATACCAACTCTGACGTGTAGATATTTTGCACATTTACCGGCAGAGAATTTGCAAGCGAACATTAAGATAATTAATTATAACTACATACATTTGATATATACATTTGACAGTCTGATTGGTAAATCCATGTAAGGCGCGTTAGAATATTATAGAATATTATTGAATTTGGACTTCTGCTCAGAGGTTATATTAAATCTGTTCTTTATAGCTGAACTGGCTACACTAGTTCAGAGTTTATTTTTTCCTTCCATATTGGAAGAAGAAAGATAAACTCTGAACTAGTGCAACCAGTTCAGCTATAAAGAACAGACCTATAATCGCACGTTTATGCACCTATCGATTGTCGAATATAGTGACATCGATCAATTGGTCAATCTTGATTATTAACGTGAAAAGTCCCTTTGGATTTACAATTATGGATCTAGCACGGACATGCACCAATCGGCCGTTTTATTATGGTTGCGTTCCGTTTTGCGCATAGCACGCATCGTTCGCATCGCTAATGCTTAGCGCATTGGCTGCGTTTCGTTTCATTATGCGCATGATACATGCTTTGAAACGGAACGATATTGAACGCATTAGAAGCGGAAAATCAAAATGGATTCCACAATAAATTGCGCTATCAATGTGACAATGTTTTTAATTGATAAAATGAGTGACAGTAATAGTAGTGAATCATCAATGACTCTTCCATTATGACTCTTCCTATTTTGACACTTTTTACAATATCGCTATCAATCGCCATATGCAATTACGCAATCGCATGGAACGCATAAGCCGAGAGCACAAGCTTTTACTTGGTCCATTTCCTTATGCATTTGCTTATGCTTATATATAGACCAATCAATTTCCTTATGCTTATGCGTTATGCTTTATGCAAAAGTCTATGCTCCGGCCAATAAGCTGCTGCAACTCAAACTTGAGGTAGCTGATGCGTGTATTATGCGCTGCAGGTGGTGGGGATCTAGGGAATTCTAAGCGCTGTTCATGCGCGCATTGAGTGA